CGAAAATTACAATAATAGCCTCACAAATAAATGAATAAAGGATAAAAATTATAATAATATCATCACAAATGCATGAAGAAAAAAGGTGAAAATTACAACAATACTGATTGAATAGTAAACACTCGACTTTTCTCAGATTTTTTTTATTAATATATTGAAATTATTCTTTTAGATTTTCTTGTTAATATATCGAAATTATTCTTCAATGAAGCTAGCAGCCACAATTTAATGCTGCCAACGGGCAACCACTGAAAAAGAAATTAAAAACCTACCAGTGCAAAGGGTGCTGCTTTAGTGCTTCCTAGTTTGGAAAAGTTGGGGAGTAATCATGGTTTGCGTATGAATTTTTTTTGTTTGTTTTCTCAAGTAAAAGCTCTTGTGGTGCAAGTAGGAATAATTAATCACAATTATTTAATCTTCATTCCAACTCAACAATTTGCCGTTGGAATTCAATTAGTTTATGTTTGGAGACATGAAACCATTATTGAGAAAAAGTAATTGGGGCCCTAAGCAGAATAAAGAAGCTAGCTGTAGCTTCACAAGAAAAAGCAGGGACACCAGACATGGCAAACGAAAGGCAAAAGCCATGCATGTTCCTTTCTATACGGCATGGACGGGCCTTCAATCAGAGGCTTGCTTCCTATTAACCCCCTAAAAGCACGACATGATAACTAGACCCCATGCCCACTTAACAATAATGTTGCACGGTGACATAATTAGAGTAGAAAAAATAAAGAATCATCATCTCTTCAATCAGAAGCATTGCCTACGTTGTAAAGTAGAAATTCAGGCCCACAAGAAATGCTATTCTCCAACTACAGTGGTTCTTGCTTTTGGTATGGCAATACATAGAAAATTCTTCCAGGCAGAGTTCTACAATAGACATACTACTGTATTTGAGCAAATAAAAGAGGATAACGATCGATAATGGAAGTAAATGGATTCGAAGAGCTCATAGATTGATTTGGTGTTCCAAAAATTGTCGTGGAGTCAACGGGCACAAAGACCAGGAGGTCAACCACTAGAGGACGCAAGATAGTGGGAAAAGATAGACTTCTACCGTGTCCTGAGTTGGTCTAATGGCTAATCTTGGTCTTAAAATCTTACTACTCTGTGTTGGATTAGAACGTCATCTCATCTTGGCCCGTATAAGTTGTGAATCCATTTCAAATTCTATGGTTTCCCACGCGGAAGTAGACCGAAGAAAGAAATCGTGACGCACTAGGAAGTCAAGTCTTTGGGGGTAAAGTGCTTAATCTTCATCCTTGAACAAGAAGATCATTTCTGTTTTGTTTGGTGGGTCTACTAGGTTAAGTCCATTGTTGCATTACACAGATTTTCACTAGCAGACGCATAAATGTCTTCCTGAAAAAAAAAAAAAAAGAACTATAGCAATGTGAGGGAACATGTATATCAAGGTTCCACGATATAGACATCGGCCATCACCACTTGAAAATTCACTGTTTCAGACGAGAGAGGAGTTCGACCATTGTAGGGGTCAGGTAGAGGACCTTTAGAATTCGAGATCGAACTGATGGTTAGATCACAATGCAAACAGTGCATGATTAGGCTGCGCCAATGCTGGAAACCCGCCCTGTATTAATCCAGTCTAGCACATCATAGGACAAAAGTTCGAACTTCGAACCAAGCACATCCCTTGCCATGATTGAAAATAGCGAGACTGGACAAGCGAAGAACATCGTGAATTTGCAAATCATGCTTCTTAAACGCATGCCTATAGACTGCATATTTGTCTTAAATCAAAATGCATTATTGATTATTCACATTTATTACATGCGTTATATGCTGAGACCATACAATTATGCAGCTCTTTGATAGTGAGTTGGAAAGAGTGTCAATTGACGATGAGTTAGTAACTTCGTGACAAGTAAAACTGATAACTGACAGCTTAGCTAGCGAGGGGAATTAGTGCTGCTAGTAACTAGGGAATTAGTTAGCTAAGTAGTTGGCATTGTTAGCAGTTAGAGGAGCATTTAGTTGAGTTTGTTAATTACTAAAAGAGAGCGAGGAGAGCATGTGGAAGACAGTTGTGATGTTAGCAAGAATTCTCTCGTTCTTCTCTTCTCTAGGTCTCTCTAATCTCTATGTTCTTTATTTTCGTATTTCTTCTTTTCCTTTCTACTATCAGTTGTTCAGGTTCTAGAATTTGTTTTTCATTGATTTCCAATTGCAGTTCAAGAACACGAATTCAATCCAATTTGAATAAGAATTATTGTTTTCCTACTTGCTCCCTTTGCAATTCTCATGTTTTTTAACTGATTAAGAATTGGAGTTACATCAATTGGCAGCGGAGTTAGTCTTCAAACTTTTGGAAAATGAAAGAAACAATTGCATTGGCAAAAAGAAATGCAATTTGAAGAAAATGGAAGAATCAATCGCTTCTTTGACTAAGGTAATTTCTAACGTAGCTAAGAAATGCAATACCTTTTATTCAAAGCAAAGTCAAGAGATCAATGAGTTGAAAGAACTGGTAAATGGTCTCATGAATCCAATTATGGATGATATAGTTCTTGATCAAATAAATGGAAGTAATAATGGGGGAACGAGAAAGATGAATGGGGTTAATAATCATGGTTAGGCATGTAAGTTTTCTTTTGAAGGTGATTTCATTGGATGTGGTATGAAAGAAACTATAGGAACTCGGTTTAAAGAATGTTTAAAGATGGAACCTTCTATTGAGAATAAATTTGTTGACAGTTTGTTGCTACGGAAATGTCAAAAAGTGGAAGTAATTTCGTGGTAAGTAAAACTAATAGCTGACAGCTTAACTGGTAAGGGGAGTTGGTGCTACTATTAATTACGAAATTAGCTAGGTAAGTAGTTGACATTGTTAGCAGTTAGAGGAGCATTTAGTTGAGTTTGTTACATACTAAAGGCGAGTGAGGAGAGTGTGCGGAAGTCAAGTGTGAGGTTAGCATTTAGTTGAGTTTGTTAAATACTAAAGGAAAGTGAGGAGAGTGTGTGGAAGTTAGTTGTGATGTTAGCAAGAATTCTCTCTTTCTTCTCCTTTCTAATTCTCTCTAATCTCTATGTTCTTCATTTTCTTTCTAATATCAGTTGTTCAAGTTCTAAAATTTGCTTTTCATTGATTTGCAATTATAGTTCAAGAATACGGATTCGATCCAATTTGAATAAGAATTATTATTTTTCTAATTTTTCCTTTTGCAATTCTCTTGTTTTTCAACTGATTAAGAATTAAAGTTGCATAAATTGCTTTCTTAAGAGGGAAGGTACTGATGCAACTCTTTGATAATGAGTTGGCAAGAATGCTAGTTAACAATGAGTTAGTAACTTTGTGGCAAGTAAAACTGATAGCTGACAGCTTAGCTGGCAAGGGGAGTTGGTGCTGCTAGTAATTATGGAATTAGTAAGCTAAGTAGTTGACATTGTTAGCAATTAGAGGAGCATTTAGTTGAGTTTGTTAACTACAAAATGAAAGTGAGGAGAGTGTGTGGAAGTCAATTGTGATGTTAGCAAAAATTCTCTTTTTCTTTTCCTCTCTAGTTCTTTCTAATCTCTATATTCTTCATTTCTGTATTTCTTTTTTTCTTTCATCTATGAGTTGTTCAAGTTCTAGAATTTGCTTTTATTTTGAATAAGAATTACTATTTTCCTACTTGTTCCATTTGCAATTCTCTTGTTTTCAACTGATTAAGAATTAGAGTTGCATCAATTGTTTTTTTAAAAGGTAAGGTATTGATGCAACTCTTTGATCGTGAGTTGGCAAAAGTGCTAGTTAACAATGAGTTGGTAACTTTGTGGCAAGTAAAACTAATGACTAGCAAGGAGAGTTAGTGCTACTAGTAATTAAGGAATTAATTAGTCAAATAGTTGGCATTGTTAGTAGTTAGAAGAGCATTTAGTTGAGTTTATTAACTACTAAAAGAGAGTGAGGAGAGTGTGAAAGTCAGTTGTGATGTTAGCAAGAATTCTCTCCTTCTTCTCCTCTCTAGTTCTCTCTAGTCTTCGTGTTCTTCATTTCTGTATTTCTTCTTTTTCTTTCTAGTATCAATTGTTCAAGTTCTAGAATTTATTTTTCATTGATTTGCAATTGCAGTTCAAGAATATGAATTTAGTCCAATTTGAATAAGAATTACTGTTTTCCTACTTGTTCCCTTTACAATTCTCTTGTTTTTCAACCAATTAAGAATTGGAGTTGCATCAATTGCTTTCTTAAGAGGGAGGGTATTGATGCAACTCTTTGATAATGAGTTGGCTAGAGTGTCAGTTGACAATGAGTTGATAACTTCGTAACAAGTAAAACTGATAGCTGACAGCTTAGTTGACAAAGGGAGTTGGTGCTACTAGTAATTAGGAAATTAGCTAACTAAGTAGTTGGCATTGTTAGCAGTTAGAAGGGCATGTAGTTGAATTTGTTAACTACTAAAGGAAAGTGAGGAAAATGTAAAAGTCAGTTGTCATGTTAGCAAGAATTCTCTCTTTCTTCTCCTCCCTAGTTCTCTCTAATCTCTCTATTCTTCATTTATGTATTTCTTCTTTTTCTTTCTACCACCAGTTATTCAAGTTCTAGAATTTGCTTTTCATTGATTTACAATTGCAATTCAAGAACACGGATTCAATCCAATTTGAAAAGAATTATTGTTTTCCTACTTACTCCCTTTGCAGTTCTCTTGTTTTTCAACTGATTAAGAATTGGAGTTGCATCAAAGGAATGGAGGCGCTTTATACCAACAATTTTGAATTAAAATAATCAGGTTTCAACATTGCCTTATATTTATGTCATCAAGCCAGTTTGATCTTTGCAAGTTTTACTTCAATGTAGACAGATACAAAACATAAGTAGAAAATTGAATATTGATAACACTCGTGAATAAATTGAATGAATGTTGGGAGTGGAGACTGTTGCCTCCAGCAGAGAGGACAACAAGAAATGAGTTTCACTGGCTGGTTCATTTCAAATCATGTGGCCACCTAGAACATGTATCGAGGCCCACAGCTAAAATCTATCCATTTGGCAACTATTTGTTCATGTATCGAGGCCCACAGCTAAAATCTAGAGTTCTCTTTCTCTCACATTCCAATGGCAAAACTGCAAGCCAACCCAAAAATGCTCTAAGATTAGCTGTTCCTCTTGAAAACAAGTTACAGAACTTCTGCTCAAAGCAAAATGAGGACCCCAGCCAACGTGATCAACAAAAGGAATTGTGTAAAATGCATGAAACACAGCTACAAAGGTTATACGATCTTGTGTAACCCAATGTGCAGATCGGAAGATATGGAAATCAGAAGTGGGCGAGAGTAATGCCATACTGCTTTAAAGACTCGTTTCTGATGAGCTTTTATGGACTGAGATGGCTTGTTATAATTGTACCTGATATCAAAGATATGGATCACCGGGTCTACTGAACCAGATGTGAGGTACAAACCATCGGGAGACCAAGCTTGATTGATCAGAGCTGACTGAGAGTCGCTACTTTCTTGTTTAAACCCAAAAGAATGAATTTCTGTTTGCCTCAGTCTACTATCGAACAACCTAAGTTGCTTCCCATGAGTCCTGAATATGAGATCTACTATTAGAACATTCAAGTAGCTTGCCAAAACTATGAAACTATAGTGAAAAAAAAAGCTCTTGTTAGACAAAGGCGAACATTAAACTTAATTCTCTAAACATTCCTCCAGATGACTCCAGGAGTTTTCTGCGACTGCTATATACCTTTGGTACTGTTTTTATGCTTCTAAGTACTCATAGAATAATATAAATTTAAAACAAATGTAGTTTATCTAGAAAGTAGAAAGCAAATGGAAGAGTTGACAGTGTGTGAAACAATGTCAAACCTAGTTAAGAGTATATTTCTAGAAGCATAATAAGACTATTAATACTAATAAGCAAATGTGTTGACAAGGACTCAGATCAGAAAGAGAGAGAAAGATAATCAAGATAATCCTTACCCTGTTTGAACCATGAATAGATTGAAGTCGCACGGATTTGGCAGAACACTCATGCATTTGCTATCGAGTTGATGCTTGAAGTCTGCTCTCCCAACGTGTACATCAAACCCAACAATTCTCTTGTCTGCACCAGCAGACAGTACAATCTGCTTTTGCTGCATCCCAGCAACCCCCATGACAGCAGAAGAATGCAAATTCCTGTGCAATGCCTTTGGCTTCCATAAGTTCTCATCATCTCTCTCATTCCAAAGGACAACACCATGATCACCACCACCAGTGACAAAACAGGTATTTTCCCAGGGCATGAACTCTATGCTATTGATAATAGCCTTAACATGAGGCTTGTCCTCCAAGAAAGTTACACGTGCTCTCTGCCAACGCAAAAACATACAAAATTAAACATTATTTATCCAAAAAGCCTACATTTTGCATGGAAGGGCATGCTACTATAGTATGATGGCATGTCTGCAGCGAATGCTAACTCCACTGCTGTAAAATCCATGCTATATATATGTACTTGAGACATATCTATACAAGCGGCAATGGCATATTTATTCAGAAAATAATAGTTCAACCATAATCCATACCCCTTGAGTTTTATTCAAATTCAAAACTGATATTTGAGAATCCCCACTATCTGCAGTGTAAGCAGAGAATAAGCTATTTCCCAGTGGGTGCCAGGCTATATCTTCTGGCCATCTCCGTTGCACTGGAGACATACAATCGGTGGTGCTAAGTAGAGAAGCACTGGACCTGCAATTTAGAGGGGGGAAAATATGCTTCACTTTACAGAACTGAACATTAAATGATGAAACTGCATGTTATTGATACAAACAAAGAAAATTATTAATGATCCAACCAACTAAAATGGAAGCAACTGAGGGTTCTATCACTTGCATAATCACTAATACCTATAGTCCTTCCTGATAATGCCAGAAAACTACTGATTCCTTCCCCTTCACAACACCCACCTTACAGTTGGGAAAACAAAGAAATGGAAAGAGAAAGAAAAAGGGGTGGCTGGTCTAAAGACAAAAAACCAAGAGAATAGTGTAACAATCATTAATGAGCTCAGCATCACATTCAGATAAATATCTCATCCAATCATGTACCAAAATTATGCTGTCTTCAGCAAGCATGTTTATCAAGAACCTTATTTTCCCTGCTTTGAGTCTGATCATAGAGACAATGAGTAGATCTCATGGGAGGCTGCAGTAAGTTAATGTTTGCTAAGTTTGTCATTATAAGCGATCTATATGCAGTAAGGTACACAAAAGTCTTTCCTTTAGCTTGCAATATTTATCCTGAAATAACTTGACGACTGCAATCAACTGTAGTAACAAATGCGAATTTATATTGAAATATATTGTTATGTGGCACCTAGTTTGTGTATCAGCCTCAGAAATGTGACAGTGTGAGTGCTGAAAGAGAAACGTGCTTGTGTTAGTAGGATATACAGTAAATTCCTCTTGAAAGTAACAAACCAAATGATGAGAGGACTGGGGCACAATAGTGTCTGAAAGAAGTCAAGAAGCCTTGAAAATGTTTTTAAATCTGTTCTTTGTCAATTCGATAGCAAATAGATGTGAAACATTTCGCTTGAATAGGGCAAATGAATGTTCATAATTTGAAGGAAGCTGGTTGCTCAAACAAAAAAATATTGATCCTCTCACTAGTTGTTGCCAATAGGTCTTCTCCAGAAGTAATTATTAATCTTATAAACAGAAATCAGCAGTTAAATAGCACAGGCCTGGAGGATTGTGAATTTGAAGTTGTTAATTTTCATAGACACAAGGCAGGGCATCATGCTATTCTTTCTTTGCCAGAAATCTCGTTTGACAAAAATCAATGGAAGTACACATGAAGCATGCATGAGAGACCACCCTTACAAGGTACTTTACCAAAGTGATCTCGGGAAACATTATACTACTTTCCATTAACCAGTGGATAGCACCCACAAAAAATTTCCATGACTAATCACCTCTTATAGTTCAAACACTAATATACTGACAGAGATGCCCCTCCTATACTCTTCCAAAAAATAAAAGCAAATAGCAACCACTCTGAGTAAATCACCTTAACTGGAAAACACAAAGAAAAAGTCACCAAGAACACAGACCTGGAAGGGAATCATATTCCTCCATCCATCATCAACTACTCATGGAACCAAAAACAAGCCTATCAATCTTTCAGCCAAAATGCAACTCTCGGCTTCATATTTATCAAAGTGATCCAAATACAAAGCATTCATTCTTAGATCTTCAGAGATTACAAACTACCTGTTTCTATCAAATTGCTCTTGGAACAAATTAGCATCTATGGAGAGCTTCCACACCCTAATCTTGCCAAAAAATTTGACACCCAGTCTTGCTAAAAATCAGGCAAAATCCATCTTCTAATAGCAGGCCACAAGCCAATCCATAGACCTTACACCAAAACAAGTCCAGGATTTAGCAACTACATTCCCATTTAATGAGACAATGACAGAATGTAGTGCGAAGATGTAAAATTATCTTCACTTATGCACAAAAGATATTCCATGCAGTACCATAAGTGTAAGAAATTGACTGCCTAATTGAAATGCAAATACAAAAAAATCAACCATCCTTGCAACTCTCCACCCTAGCATATGCATTACGTTAGCAGTTCACTGTGTTATATCTCTATCAAACTTACAAAATCACACAATAATAAGCTTAATGGCATGGTAAGCATGCTCATTGTGGATCTATATGTCAGCTATTCATGAGAACTAATGTACTTAAGTGCCAACAAACTTTAAGACTTACCCTCGAGCTTGAAGTTGCCATAGGTGGACCATTCCATCCAAAGCACTGTATGTATCCAAAGCATTAGAGAAAAGTTAGAATTCGAAAATTATACGAGCGAATGAGAGAATAATACCACATGGCTATAGCATATTTCCCTAACAAACATTATAAATTGGAAAAACATCAAGCAAAGAAAAACAGCAAGATGAACTTGAGATGAACTTCACCTCATAAGCCCACCAATACACATGCATCTTCTTCCTTAAAACCATAAAACTCATAGCTGGAACAAAAATTCTCCATGTGAAATCATGTGCAAGTGCACTTTATGAGTTATGAACGATGCTGTTTTGAGTAATTGTCATAAGCTAAATGCCATTGTGTGGCCTTCTTTTTTGGATAAAGAAGAATGTATTTTTGACAAAGTATTGCTTCTATGGTTATGCATCTTCCATTCTTTCTGTTATGCATGTATAGTTCTAAATCCACCACTTCACTAGGAATTGTTCTCTTCATGACTCAATCACTCTCCACCCTAAAAGCTTGAGTACCAAATATCCATCTCTCCATGACCCATGTGTGCTTCAGATGCTTTTCATTCTACCTGTGGCCGACTCAATCTACCCCATCCAACAAGCACTAATTTACGATGCGTTATGCTTCTAGATATTTGAAAGAATTAGTGTGTTATGGAAATTGTCCACTGCAAAGAATTTTGATTGCATGGAATAAGAGGATGATATCCTTCATATGGAAAACCACAGTCTAAAAGGAAAAGGGAAAATAGCGACAACTTATCATCAGGCAAACCAAAACAACATCTCTAGGTGATGGCAAGAATAGTCTTGACACTATCTTCATCGTTCTAAAGGTGAGAGGCTAACAAAAATTACATGATGAAGTAAATTTTATTTTTTTATTTTTTTCATTTTCTTTAGGTTGATTGGTTGTCGTTTATAAGTGAAATTTAGAAACAACAAATTCAAGTCTTCAATCATGTCAAAAGAACATAACTTTCATTTATAACAACTACTTCACCCTCAAAATTGATCAGGTGAATCACCTGGACACGAAAAGCTGATCATTCGCTGGACATACAGCAATACTTCTCAACTTTCTTTTGTGTTGACTAGAGATATGATTACTTGTATGGCAGTGGACTGTACATGGAGAAGAGCTCCTAGACACCAGCGGAATCAATTCCTTGTGTTCTTTCTGTTCTGAAATCATACAGAAAATTACATGAACAAGTAATAAAGCACCAAGTGAAGCAAAATTGCAATCCCAAGCATGAAATTATGAATGAAAAAACATACACACAGTAGCAAAATGAAAAAGAAAAAGAAAAGAATTACCAATCTTCCTTTTCGTTCCTCTGTCCTGAATTTCAACAACTTCAACATCAGAAGAACTTCTACGAGACTTTTCCGATTTCACTTTCAAAGCACTGTTAGATTTTTCCACTTTCACATTCACCTCCCTACTAGGTTTTTCAACTTTCACATTTGCAACACCATTAGAAGGAGTGGAAGAACTAGGTTGAGCATTGGAACCACTAGAAATTCTTGCACCTGAACCCACTGATTTTACTGGTTGAGGAACTTTTGGATTCACAGCAGGAATCACAAGTTCAGTTCTAGATTGAGGCTGGCTTCTTGAAGAAGCTTCATTTGCACGAACCGGACTTGGTGATTTCCTCTCCACCTTCACATTCTTAATCCCATTCTCCACAGAAGTTTTATTCGCCGCTGCATTGCTTTTCCCACTTAAACGACCCAATTTCACCTGCGAATCCTCTAGCCTCTTCTCCGCTTCTACAAGCTGCACACATTTCCAAACAAATAATAAATCACTGATTTGTTTCGTTAAAAATACTAATTAAAAAACTAATTTCAGTATTTTTTTTTATTTCAATTAATCTATCAAACATTAAACTTCAACAATCACCTACTCAGTATTCAAGAATTGATTTTTTTTATCAATAATTAAACAAAATCAAGGAAAACCCTAAATATCGTTAAAATAATTTTTTTTTTTTAAAAAAAAAGACTAAATAGAACAGTATCTTATTAAAAAAATTGGGGAAATGAAGAGATTTGAAAATTAAAAGGAAAGAAAGGAAGAACAAACCTGAGAGTTATAATAAGAAATGCGTTGCTTAAGATGTTGAACTTCACGAGAACGGTGTTCGATTAAAGCAATCAAAGCCACCTTTTGCTCTTCTATGCTATCATCTTCTTCTTCTTCTCTGGCGTTGTTCTCTTTCGATTCTTGATTTAGTGACACTTCATTACCGCCGTCGTTGTTTTGCTGCTCTAGTTTTGGTCTTTTCAGAATCGGGGATGGCGTGCTCATTTTTTTCTTTGGCCTGTGTGTTTTGACTAGTTTTGTACAGTGCTGTTTTGCGTTTGTCGATGAGCGCGAGAGGGAGGAAGAAGTCAGAAGGGCATTTATATTTATAGGGGATCAAAGGAAATAATGATTAAATGTTAGTCATATTTTGTATTTTATGTTTTTGGTTAAAAAAAATACTATAAATTGTGGAAAAGTAGTCATTTAAAAAAGATATTGTCACTGAGAAATTGTAGTGAAGAGAGCTTACAATAATTGCAATTCCATGAATATTGATTTCTTTGTTTTAAAAAATTATCAGTCCATTATCCTAGAAAAAATGAGATTTATACTAATATTATAGTAATGGAAATAATGCCTTCAAATAAGTAATTTAAAGAGTTTTGAATGAGAAAAACTGTGTGATTGTACAAAAAAAAAAAAGAAAAAAGAAAAAAGAAAAAGAAAATAAGAAATCATAAACTTTTTGGATATTGAAAATTGTGTGATTGTAATAAAAGAAATAGAAACGAAGAAATTTCTTAGTAACATGCGTTTAACACAAAGGAAATGGTAGAAAAATAAATTTAATAATCTCATCTGCTAATTCTTTCTGCTGAAAGCGCAGTCTCTTCAAATGGTTCCAAAATGTAAAACCACATAAGATGAGTGATTTTTTTTTTTTTTTTTCTCAAGGCATGTTAGGCTGAACCATCCACTTTCCATTCCCAGATGTTAGGGAATTGTCTTTTTTCTTTCTTCAGCAGAAAAATCTGTGAATCCTTCGCTCGTTTGACTGGAATGGAACGTGGAGATGGCAGGAGTGGTAAAGAGGTAGCGGACAGGACCCTGATGAAATAGGAGGTACAAACAACAAAGGAATAAAACCCCATTTCTTTTTAGTACCAACTAGAAAATATAATGTTGTTTTGAAACGGAATCTATGGTAGGTCAATGAACCAGGCTGTGCTGAATTTCCTGTCCAATACTGTTGTATTTCAGACAGAAGATTGTTAACAGTTAATTCCGGTTCTTTTGCTTTTTGCCTTCGACCTCAACCCTGGCTAATAAACTTGTTTTAATCTTTTAGAAAAAGATTAACGTGACGTTATCAACTAAAACAAATGCATCATTACGATGCAAATATTTCCTAGAAGTCAATAACCTAGATAGCTAAGGTATGCATGCAAGTTTCAGGCACAATATCTTTTCTTAAGATATATCTGTTTATGACAAAACCCATCAAGCTGACCTCAATCCTTCTTAGGAAGCGAGTGCGAACTATACATATGAGAAATTCAATATTAGCTTTAATTCGCAATAATTAACAAGACGAATTATCAACTAAAGCATGAAACCAACAGGACGAAAAAAAGACATGGAAGGTATAACAATGGCCACTTTTGGTCATACTCAATTTTTGGGATTTTCTTTTTACCATAACATATTCTTGCATTTATGAGTTTGTAAAATGTATCTTTTCCTTCTTCTCAGGGATGAAGAGTTCTTCTTATGGAAGTTTTCGCCAGCCTGCTCACACAAAGTAGAAGTCTTGGCCAATGTTTCCTCAGCATTCTTGAACTTAGACTCAAGTTGGTAGATTTTTTCGCCCAGAATATGCATGGTAACCATTTGAGTGTCTGAGGTTTGGCCTTCTGGCTCAAGAGCTTCTTCCAAAGCAGCAACATCTTGTGAATTACGGAGAATCGATGGTCCAATTGATAAATTTTCTGTCACTCTTCGCCAGGCTATTCAGCATCAGTTTCAGATGATTGCTATGCCTCGTCAAAAGAACTGGAGTCAAAATTCATCGCAGGAGCAGCAGCTAGAGGTGGTGATAGTTCTGACTCAAACCCAGCATGAAGGGAGAACGTTTCATCGGTGAATGCCTATAAAGTCAAGCACGTTAAAATATTTTTGGAACAAAAATTCAACTTATTGAAGTTACGAAAGATCTTTTTCGGTTGACCAGAACAAAGAGTGGGAAATCTATTAACTGGAGAAAGAGAGGGGCTTGATATTGGAAATTCAGTTAGAAGTTTCAATGAATACGACCATTAGAAATATGAGCACTATTTTAACCATCCTATTGCAAGGAGCAGAATAACCTAGATGATTTATCCTGCAAAGCTGTTCTTTCTTCACAGGTTGCTACATGGGATTGGGAGTGGCTGTACTACCAGAGCTTTCCTGATAGAGACCAAGACCAACACCTCCATCTTGTGTACGATCTTCTTTGGTTAGGTCTTGCTCTTTGCTGACTGAGGTCTTCCTACTTGACCCTGGATAATATGCATACTGGTTAGTAACAGTTGAGAAGGAAGATGGAAGCAAGAATCAAGTGAGAGGCAATCCATAACCTTCGGCTATCCATTATATCTCATCAAATAGGCTTCTGTTTCCTTCTTTATCAAGTGTTGTGTTTCCTAATTAGGAAGAGGTTTTGATTCCTATTGCAGTTCCTTCTTCAGTAACTTTTTTGTACTGATATTTCTCATAATCCTGATATAGAAGTTCAAAGTGATACTGAGAATCGACTTTTCCTCTACAAATATGCAAGTATTCATTGCATTCTATTGGATCATATAAAATCTTTCTTTTTGGACAATGTAAAGTCAAAAAATCTTTTAAGTGAGACAAAGAAACCAAGCAGAAGCAATCAGGGCTGTAAAGTCAATAGGAGTTCATCTTTCTAACAAGAGTTTCCTCACATAACCTTGTTTGTTTATGAAATTTTTAACACGGTCTTGTTGTATCAAAAACATAATGGATGTTTTAGGAAAGGTCAAATACCAATGATAATGAAATAAAATAAACATACGCACAAATGCTTTCCAGCTTACTATAGGAATGTCGTTGCAACAGAGCTGCGGTTCCTGCCGTGGACAAGCTACTGTGTCTAGATCTATCACCACAACCCACAAAACCAAGCATCATTATGCAAGAAAATAATCTGAACGGAGAAACATAGGAGATAATGATGGCGTCTCTCAATTATGAAAGACTTCTCATCAAATCTCATCAAAAAGTACCCTCTTCATTCCCTGCCTCAACTACTTCACCCTGAGAATCCACTGGCGCTACCCCATTGCCTGTGACCAAAGATCCATCCTTGGGCTCGATAACTTGCAGAGTCCAGCAGCTACACAAAAACATGGTATTCACATGATACATTAATTAATAAGTCACAAACAATCAACACCTTTTCTTTTCGGAAATAGAAAGGCAATTCCTTAAAGTTTTGCCTATTGATAAAAGGATGGTTCTGTAAACCCTTTCATATGGGACAACCATTAATTAGAAGCCTCTTTTACCAGGATTTATTCACCAGATTGTTGAACCATTACTACTAATATAGTGGAAGAACATTTTCAATGCAATTAATATGCGGATGTCATTACAAATAATGCAATCAAGCATGCATCAGATCCTAAACACATCCATAGCTATAATCATAATTAAAAGTGCATTTAAAAAATTTCCATGGCTCAATTCTTAGTTAAATGGAATAATATATCCCCATTCAAGATATTGCACAATTTCAAATATTGAATCTCTAGGTCTCTTGAAAACACCAACAACCTTCCTTTCCACAAGTTCACTGAACATTCTGATATTTAAGCACATTGCACAATGTCATCCCCAGATAATTTCAAATACCATCTAGCCAGTAACATTGCAATGAGGATCCATCATAAAAAACAAAAAACTCGCAAGATAAGGTGGAACAACTCTGGGGGTGGAGTGCACTTTAACAGCAAGCATGATCGTGAAACTGGTGACGGATGCTTCTTCAGCGGAGAAAAGACAATTGGAGGGGGATAATAAGTTCTTTTGTATGGACATGGATGGGTAGAGCAGGGTATGTGGCTGAGCAAGCATGGGGTTTGTGGTGGGGTGGCTAAGATTGGTTATCTTTGATCTAGGACTATATAACTCCCATCAGCATCATGTAACACACTTTTATAATGTACAAAGAGAGCTTTAGCTAGCAGAATATGGATGCAGATCACTTGTGTTGGATTGTCACCTTACACTCATATCCACGTACATGCACAACTACTCACTTGCCAATTAAACTAGCACCATGGAACTCTTGAAACACAAAACTGACTAAGAAAAGAAAGTCCAAGCAACATAGAGGAACTATATACCTAAGAAAAGAATTCCATTCCTAAAATATTTATCTATTCAGCAAAAACCCACTCCGGCTCATGCCATTCAGGGTGGCCCTCCCAGCCCAACATTCATTAAGCTGCTCTACTAGTGTACATTCAGTCAGACAGAAATAGCAAACATTGCACAACAAATTTTCATCAGAGAATTGCAGACAGACAACAATACATTGGTAAGCAACACATTTAGACTTTAGAGTACAAGACAGAAGGGGCAAGTTGTAAACTATGCTCTGCAAGTTCAAAAATACTAAAAGAGTAAAGGGAATGGCTTCCAAATTAACATCAGAAATAAAAAAGTTCATAGGTTCTAGTAATCATATGCATCAGATGAGTAGCTGGAACAATACATAGCATGTGCTAGCAATTCAAAACAAGCACCAACCAAAACCGAGAAGAGAGTTCTTTAAAAGAGAAGGCATCAAAAATGCATTTTGACGGTCAAGTTCAAGTCTAGGCGCAAGTAATATCAAGTAAAAAAAATCAAAATGAATATTTTCAGAAGTAATGAAATTGTCCATAGAACAACCCTTTTTCAGTAGTACAGAGATAGGCACTTGGATGTTAAATTTGCAGCCCAGAAGGTGTTAGGCAAAAGCGAAAATGAAACTAACCTTTTTTTTTTTCAATCAATTTGAGCATTTGATGAGGATAATATCGTGAAAATAAAAGTCAACTGACAACTTACCAAAGATCATCCAGGAATGTTCCAATCGATTGCTGAAGGTGAGAAAGGCAAAGAAGGCATCAAATCAGATGACTTTGCGGCTTACTTGAAGTGAAATTTCAATTTCCATATTTAAAATGACTTCTTTCAAAAATTTCCATGCTTGTTTGCTTTTAATTATTCATTCCCATTTCATGTGACCTCTCTTTGTACTTGGCAAGCCCTGTGAAGCAAACTGAATTTACAAGGCCATCAGAATTTTTTTTAAGAAGAGAGGGTGGGGGAACCACACCTACAAGAAGTTAATTTAGCAATATTAGAGAGAGCCAGCGGCCCACTGATAAACCCTCAGCAAACTTTTGACATTTTCCACAATACAGCCACAGAAAACCAAGGACCACAGCTGTGGTACGGCGTCCACAGTGCCTAATGAAGCTCTAGCCAAGCATCCATAGATGAAATCCAACAAAATGAAAACTAATTTTCTTTACCATCCACAGCTTGTCTAAGAGCTAATAAAACATCACATTTATCAGCATAAAGGAACCCCGTTTCAAGCAACAAGATCAAATTCATCACGGTCAGGAAGAACCACATCTAGTCTCATCATACTTCGATATTGATCCGGAACAGGTGCACCAGCCTGCACACACAGCTCCACTACAGCTGGAGCCTTGCCGTAGTACCTCTTCAACTTGTTATCCAGAGGAGGCCCATTCAAATCTCGAACATGCCAAACGTAATTGGGAAACACAAGATCCTCAATAGTTGCTTCTTGCCATGCATGCTGACCATCACGAAACTGATGCTTTGTTGCCTTGCACATCCTCACCTTGTGTCCCTTGGGACCTACCTGAACTTCAGGACAATATCCGCAGGTTAACACACCATACTTTTCCATGATTGTCTTTGCTCCAGATATCATTTCGAACCATGACTCCAATGTACCAACGCTTATTTCCCTTAAATCAGTGGCTTCCTCATGTGTCTCTTCCAATTGATCAGCAGTTTCTTTCTCCAATATAAACTTTCTTGCTTCATCAAATTTGATCCCAAAATCAGAACCCACTGGAGGATCAATGTTCTCATGATGCAAACTACTCCTAATTTCATCATTCTCCGCCACTTGCTCAAAGTCTACAATTCTTCCTTCAATAGAGTACACAGGTTTTGTTCTCCTCTTTGTAGGGTGCTTTTCAAGATCGACACCAGCCTGTATACAGAGCTCTACAATGGCAGGGATACGAGGGACCCTGCGACTCTCGTCATGCCCAACTCTTGGCTTGCCAACACGATCATAAAGATGATAGGATTTAGGGAAAAAAACCACATCATGCACTCTCCCCTTTCTCCAAACATGAGTGGAACTCCTCATTCCACTTCCTGGAGCAGTGCAAGTTTGAATTTCATGACCCGCATGGCCAATATGTAACTCATGGCAGAACCTGGATTAGAGAATCTTATAACAATAAGTACACCAACAAACTAAAAATGAATACCATCACACCAAACCATTTCCTCAGAAGTCTTCAAATCTCAATCAAAACCGTAAATTTCTAAAAATTAATACCATTTCATTTGCACTAAAAAACCATCGAAAACATGACCACATTTGATTCACTCAGCAATCAAGAGTGAAACAATATCCTTTTCCATTTCTAAAGGAGTAATGTTTGGTTACCAAGTGAAGAGGATTATAGTTCTACAATAAATAACACTCCATTCTCTTAATATATATCCATCACAATAACAAGTAAATTCAAATTCAAATTTAAATCAGAATTCTATTCTCCTTCCAATGTCAATCGCCCTAAATTCAAATTTCTAAACAGCAATTCACAAATAGACCCAAAGCCACAAACCAAAAACCCAGTTTCGTTTTCATTTCATTTTATCTGAACTTGATAATTACTCCATTTCTTTAATACCTTTAAAATCAACAACAACAAAATTCAAGTTCAAACAAAATTGAAACACAAAACCCATTTAAAATCCAATCTAAATTCACAAACAGAACCAAACCCAAAATCAAAATCCAATTTTTCAACCATTACTTACCTGCATTTCTGAACAGGAATAACTTTAACAAGCTTAGAAATCCCAGAAATCAAAACTTCACGAGCTTTATAAACTTGGTGAGCAACAGGAACAAGTTGAGGGACTAACAAACCATTATCAGGTGAATTCTCTAACATTCTACAAGGTTGTAACTTTCTTGCTTCTTTTTCTTCTTTAGCTCTTTTAATGAGCACTTTCATTGGTGTTACATATGGTTTTCTCTTCGACTTGTCTCTAACAGGTTTTGGTACGTCTTTGTATAATGGGTCATTTGTTTCTGTCCCATAAGGTAAGGGAATGGGTGTATTTGAAGAGAAAAAATGGGATTGGTTTGGTTTTTTTGAGAAAAAGTGTTGGCGTTTTAGTATTTTGTGCATTTTAAGGAAAGATTTCTTTGGATTTTTGGGGTTAGTGATTTTGTGACTGAATAAGTCAAGTGCTTGATTGATTCTAGAGCAGCAAAAAAGTAGAAGATGAGAACCGAAGAAAAAGGAGAGCAAAGAAATCAAGAAACTGGAGTGGAGCAAAACGACCCACCATTTCTGCTTCAATTTTTGGTAATTGAAGTATATTTCTAAATAATAATTTTGTAGGAACTTTTTAAAGTGTTATTGTATATATTTTTTTTTTTTTACCGCTAAAAAAGAAAAACTGACTACTTCTCAACTTTTATTTTTTTTGAAATTTAGTTTATTTAATAAATTTCAGCTATCATCTCCTTCCTGATTAATCAAAAATTAAAATTAATCTTGAAATATTTGAAAAAGAGTCTATTTAATGACTTTCACTTTCAATCTTTAATTTTTTTATTAGTTTTAAATTTTTTTAAATTTTAAATTTTTAAAATTTACTCTATTTAACGATTTTCAATATCGTCTTTCCTTTTAAAACATTCAATTATTTGTATTTTGAACTGAAATTCTGCATACATATTTAAAAAAATTCAATACATTTTGTAAAAAAAAAAAAATCTAGAATTTTTCAATATAAAAAACTATATTTATTTATTTATTGAACATTATTAAATAAAAGATAAAAAAAATAGAAAATGATTTGGAAATGATCCAAAAAAAATTTGGGGTCCCAAATAAATCTCAATAAATGATTTTTATCGTAATAATATTAATGTACTTATTATTTTTTGAGATAAATGACAAAAAATAAAAAATGAGATAAATTTGAAAAACAAAACTAGAAGTTCAAGGATTTCTAAAATCAATCAAAAATCTAAAAATTCAATTTCAAATTACTTAACATTCATGGAAAGTTAGACTCTTTTATTCTTTCTTTTTTTTTTAATTTGTAATTTAATAGACGTAAAAAAGGAATTTTATATATATACATATGAATTGAGATTCATTTAGAGTATTGGAACATAAGAATTATGTTATTAATTAAAATTTGTATACACTTATAGAGTTATAAATTAATTTTTTTATACAATTGTTTGCATTTATTTATATTTATTAACAATCTCGATTTCGATTCATTTTAGATTAGACAAACCACTTTTGACCATTATTAGGACTTGATTGCATTATTATTATTATTATTTGTCTTAAGCGAACCACTTTTAATTTTAGTAAATTTTAATTTCATTTATGAGTTTGTTTGGCAAGATAAATTGATTTAAATTATTTTTTAATTTTTAACTTCAATCAAAAGATTAATATAACATCAAAATTAAAATTAAAATTTTTAACTTCTACCTTATTAGTTATAAACCATATATCTCTATTTTCAAAAAAATCTTGAAGTTATTATTACTATTTGTTGTGAATTCTTTTGTACTTGTCTTCAATTAAGAGAATTTTGTAACAAATGATCTATAAAATAATTAGATGGCAATCTATATTACAACCTCTTAAGTAGACGGCTAAAATTATTAAGGATAAACCTGTTCTTTGATCTTAAAGATATTTTAATGTTTGAATGAAAAATTACTATTACCTATACTTGAATGCAATGACCTAAGAATCATTCCATAAGGATTCTAGACTACTCGGGTAGTCTAAGTTGAAAGGTTGGAATACAAATATAGTTAATAGAAATTAATATCAAACAATTGACAACAATATCTCTATTCAAAGCATAATCTAATTTTCATTAACAGCAAGTGTATGAATTAAAAATTATAAGATTGAACATAAATTGAAATTGATAAGTATTGAATTAAAAGTTAATACAAACGACAATGAATCCGAAAATTTGAAGACTTGCGGGTATTGGAATTGATGAACGGACATCAATTGAAACTCTAAACATCAAGAAACAAAATATGTATGTGTTTAAACAAAAGTGGGAATCAAAACAAAGATGATCTATCAGCCTACTATTACTCGTTTAATTAATTATTTTTCATAAACTATAACCTATTGTATTTCAAGTTTGAAACAATTTTAGAGATAATGCTAATAATTTGTAAAGAGAGTGTTGTTATTGTATTGTGTTTGTTGTGTATTTTTCAGCTACAGTTGATATTTATAACATTTTTTATTTTTCTACTTTTTTTTTACTAACCATGTTGCTGAATTGCAATGCTCCATAACTTCCTTAATTGAGCTGTAGTACTCCATGTTTGCCTTTAGTTGCAATGCTATACATTTTTTAGTATTCACACTTATTCATTGCAATATTCTCAAGTTCTTTTTATTTCTGATTTCGGTCATTGGAATCAATTATCTTCTTGTTAGTCTTTATTTTTTAGTAGGACTTGACTTTTGACGTTCTTTACTTATATTTTTGCCTTTCGAGCATAAAACTCGTCCAGACCTCCTCTATGGTTGGACTTGCTTTCGTGGATTCGGCATTTGGCTCGCTAGCGGTTCTTAAAAGCCGTTCGCAAGGGCTTTGGCTTTGTGATCAAAGCCTCACTAGACCTAAGTTAATTTGTTGGACTACCAGACCCCAATCAAAATTTAGGTGTACACTATTATTATTATTATTATTATTATTTTGAGATATGCGGTGCAACTATAATTATTTTTAGGCTAAAAGGGTCTAATTATTTTGAATTTTAAATCAGTTGAGGTTAAATCTTTAAACTTTCTTTTCTAGTTTTGGGAATCTATGAACTTTTAATTTTTTTTCCAAATTTAGCTCATCTTTTAGCTTTTTGTCATTTATCTCAAAAAATAATTATTATATAAATAGTTTCATAATAAAAATCATTCAATAAAATTTACATAAGGCTCCTCAAAAGATTTGAGATCATTTTGAAGTTATTTCTATTTTTTTCGATTTTCTATATTTTTAATGTTTAATAAATAAATAAATATAATTTTCAATTTTGAAAAATTATAGAATTTTTCTACAAAGTGAATTGAATTTTTTCTAACGTATATGAAAAATTCAGCTCGAAGCACCTAAAATTAAAATTTGTTTTAGAGGGAAAACGACGAGTGAAAATCATTAACTGGACTAAATCTTAAAAAAAAAAAAAATTAGAGATCTCTAAAACCAATAAAAAAATTCAAAGACTCAATTTTAAATGACTTAAAGGTCGAGGATGGTTAGAACTTTTTAATCTTATTTTTATCCTAACATGTTTGTGAAAAATAATTTTTTTTAATTTTTTATTCAAACTCAAAGATAACTCATTCTAATTTTTTTTTAAAAAAAAAAGATAATTGATCCCAAAAAAACTCAGATAATTATTCATAAATCATGCTAAACCGAATATAAATATGATGATAATTAGTAGTACTATATGGAGAAACCCTTTCGCCAACAAAATGAAATATTGTATATACAGAAGTCTTCTTCTTAGCAAACAACACTTTCATAGACGGTACTCTTCATCATCTCTAACTCTATACATAAATACATATCGTGTAAAATATATATATATATATATATATATATATATATGCCTCTTGCATCTTCCTTGACTCTTTCCAGTGGAAAAGTACAATGAAATTCAAAAGAAAATCCAAGTTTTTACTATGGTGTACTCTTTTCTCAACTTCCCTTCTCTACAATATTTACCTACTAAATTTAGTACGTGATCAACAACTTCCTAAACTGTATATCCAACTTGCTAAAATAGATAACAAACTTGAGAAAACAAGTCTTCATCACTTAGTTTTTGGCATTGCAGGATCTTCTCAAACATGGAACGAAAGACAAGAGTATCTTAAGTCCTGGTGGAGACCTGGGGAGATGAGGGGTGCAGTTTGGATGGAGCAGACGGTGAAGAATGGTGCAAATGATCATCTTTTACCACCAATAAAGATTTCCAGTGACGTATCACATTTCCAGTATGAAAACCCTACTGGGGACAGGTCTGCATTACGGTTAACAAGGATAGTATCAGAGACTTTGAAGCTAGACATGGAGGACGTGAGGTGGTTTGTGATGGGAGATGACGATACGCTATTTTTTCCCTATAATTTGGTTAGGGTTTTATCAAAGTATGATCATAACCAGTATTACTATATAGGGAGCACATCGGAGAGTCATAAGCAGAATATAGTTTTTAATTCTGGTATGGCTTATGGTGGTGGTGGATTTGCTATAAGTTATCCATTAGCAAAGGCTTTAGCAAAGATGCAAGATAGATGTATTGAGAGATATCCAGGGTTATATGGCTCTGATGATAGGATTCATGCTTGTATGTCTGAGCTTGGTGTTCCTCTTACCAAGGAACCAGGATTTCATCAGGTACTTGGCTAAAAAAATCTAATAATAATGGGTTCACTTTCTCTCTAATATTCAGTTAGTGTTTTCGTTTTTTTCAATGTTTGATTGATCTTTTGCCATCTATTTTTGCAAATGTTTCTTATCAGAATGATTTCTATGGCGACATATTTGGATTCCTTGCAGCTCATCCGATCACCCCTTTAGTCTCCCTCCACCACTTCGAGAAGATAAACCCTATAATTCCACGCATGGAAAGGCTGCAAGCCCTGGAAAAGCTTAGGGTTCCGGCCGAACTAGACTCTGCTGCACTCATGCAACAATCCATCTGCTATGACAAATCACGAAATTGGACTGTATCTGTATCTTGGGGCTATGCAGTTCAAATATTTCGGGGCATTTTTTATCCACGAGAAATAGAAACGATAGCCAGAACCTTTTGGAGTTGGTACCAAACAGTTGATCCTGAAGGTTTCGCATTCAGCAACCGCCCTTACTACAAGCATGTATGTTACAAGCCATTTGTGCATTTCATTTCTAATGCATCATACAACAGCAGTACAGATCAGACTCTTAGTGAATACGTTAGGCGTCACAACGAATATCCACCTTGCGATTGGAAAATGGCCGATCCTTTACGGATAGATCGAGTGGAGGTTCGTAAGAGACCTAACCCTTACCTATGGGATGGGGTAACAAAATTTCTAAAACTAGCAGTTTTGTTTGTTTTTTCTCCAAGAAATATTGTGACGAACTTATAGTTTTGCTTTTTCGTTTGTGTTTTGAGTAGGCACCTAGAAGAAACTGTTGCAGGAGCTTACCTACAGAGAAAAATGACACATTGGTAGTTAATGTAGCAGAATGCCGAGAAGATGAAGTCATTGAAGTACGGTGACGCAAATAGATCGAAAAGCTTGTTTTTTAATGTGCCTTTTTGTAATTGATTAGTTTTCCATTAGCATCTAGCATTAGATGTTGATGATAGAAAATTTAGTGTAGCAAAAGAAAAGGAGTTGGCTCGTTTATGTGGGTGGAATATTAGTATTCAATTGTATAGGTTAGTATTTCTTTTATTTGGGACCACCCCAAAACCCACCTTTTTCTATAGGAGCAAACCAGCTTGTGGGATTGATTGCTTTCATTCAAAATGCTAGTAATAGAGGATATGACTGTCTCTGATTTGTTTGCTTGTAATATACTCTAGGCTACTTTGCCTCCTGGCCATGAAGTCAACTTTGTTTCTTGAAATGATGTCCCTTTGTGTTGATAAAAGCGATGTTTTATCAGCATTTAGACAGGCTGTGGACGAAGCAAATTAAGTTTTATTGATCTCTGGATGCATGGCTAGAGGTTCATTAGGTATTGTGGTTTCTGGGCCACAGCTGTGGCCCTTAATTTTCAGCTGTTGTCCCATGGACAACGTCAAAGTTTGCCAAGGGATCAGTAGCTCTTCAGCTCTCTCTAACATTGCTAGATTAACTTCTTGCATGTGAGTCCCTGAGTCAGCAATAGCCTTTGTGTTACTGAAGAAGCAATTTTCTATGGATTTATGCCCCCTCCAATTTCATCCAGTTTCACAATTTTGAGTTAAACCATCTTCAATTATGGACCAAAGGCAGTTACTACCGCAGATTTTGTTGTTTCAAGACGTCTAAATTGGTTCTCAAGTTACAATCTATCAACCTGGAATCAACTAGCAGAAGAACAAAACAACAGGAGATAGATAGAATGACAAATAAATAGTATTATCATTAATAGCATTCTGCGCACTTCAAAAATATCTACAATCAGGTGGATACATTGTGTGATGAATCTCCTTGAGCAATCACGCTTGACCTAGAACAATAACAGAACAAACAGGGAATCCCAAAACATATGGGGAAAAATGAAGTTACAGAGATACAAAACTGAACAAAAACAGGGAAGATCCCTCCTCTCGTGCACAACCAGGGAGCTTCTGTACATTGAAATCCTTTAATTCGATTATCCAAAATTTGAAGCCTTTGTTAAGCCATTCTATATAAAGCATAATTAGGCTAGATGGGAAAATTTTTGTGGGAACAAAGAAAATTCTGAACCCACTTGATTCTGAAGATGCACACTGGCATTCAGAACTTGTAAAGTGAGTCTCTATAACCAAAAGGCAAATAGTCACTTGTCAGGTCACCCCTAATGTACAGAACTGGGGTGGATAGGACTTTTTGCACCCGAGCAGGGTTGGAGTTAGTGTCTTGGGCAAAGAAAACTACTCAATCGGAACCCGATGGAGAGTGTGTTCCATTTGGAGAGTCCTCTCCATTAGCCAAAGTCGAGAGGCTCCCACTATGTAGGTTCTCCTCATTGCCACTAGATCGAGGTTTACCCAACCTTGATCGAATATGAGCACCAATGGGGAATGGCTCCTGCAAGGAAATATGAATAGAATGGTTTTAGCATCCATAAGAATAAGTGAAAGAATCAGTTATTGAGAAGGTAAAATGCTGACTAACACCGAAAAAATAGTCAAAAATCAATCCTCTTTCACAAATTTATGTGTAGTAAAGTATGACTAGCCACAACTACATGCTTAAAACTCATAACCCATGAGAAAACATAACCAAAAAGAAAAATCCTAATCACCAAAATCCAGAGTTTGCAACAACTTCAACCTTGTTTATATTCTGACATTCTTTACTATTTCTATTTTTCATATTGATGTGGGATTAATCAACAAAAGCAGCCTCCAGTCAACAACAGGATCAGGAGACATGGATGGCAGCTACTGATCTATGACGTACTTTCAGTTGATCGACTATTTTTCACTTGTTTTTTGGGAAAAATAAAATAAAAACTCTACATTGGTTACTACCAGATGAACTGGTAGAAAAGAGGTAAAGTGCATGCATTTAGGTATTAGCCCTTAGTAATTCTTAAATGTAAAGATATCTGCTTGAACCGGAGGCAGCATAATAGCATTCAAAGATTGCTACCAGCTAATCTGGCAGCACCATTATTTAGTAAATCATATCAGAATCATTATTCAGGAAGTATAACCATGACCAGAAGACATCCAAAAACAACCCATGTAGACAATGAGTAGACTTTTGACAAGCCAACTGAAAGACAAAGTATCCTACCGGATCACCAGCGTTGGGACCATCAGTATGAAAGAGTATAGGACGACAGCGTTTATCCTCATTCATCAAGCTTGAATTCTGGAAATGCGCAATAAGAGCAGCTTTTCCCTGAATCCGAGCATATGCAAGAGATGCCACTTTCTCGCTGTTGAACTTCTCCCACTTTTTGCCATTGAACGCCTACAGAAGACATGTTCGGCCTCTGTTAGTTTCTACGTTTCATATGCATGAAGGGACATTCCTTTCATACCAATGAACATAAATTACTATCATTCCACTCAAGCCAATAACAGACCTTATGGAATGGAATGATCTGTTGAGGATCAATCATGTTGATAAATGCATAGCCCACGTTACATTTGTTCTGTTAAATCATGATGTAAATCTGAATTAGAGCTTAAAAACAGGAAAACGCTAAATAATGTTATATACATGTGTCTGCACTGTGCACCATAATGTTATATACTAGGGGTTGATCCACCAGAAAGTTCACTTGCCTTGAAGTCAATTGGCAAGTAAATAAAATCATATGTTCCTCGACAGTACTCATCAATTGCAGCCAGAAGCATCTTTGAAGTATATCTACAAGAACCACAAACTAAAATCAGAAGATGAAAAAAAAAAACAAGTGCAAAGAACGGAGAAAGTGCACCCAAAGGGATCGAAACACTGTCTAATTACTTGGGCAACCAAAAATAAAAAATGACAAAAAGTAGCAAACTTGACATGCAATGAATGTGAACACCATCTTGGTATGAATAAAGTCCTGCTCTACTAACACGGTCAAATTAGATGGCCTAGACCCAAAACATTCTATTGGTCAGGTGGAGGTGTTCCAACATACTGTAAGATTGTTAGTGGTAACCAAGCAGAAAAATAGGAAGCTAACTAAAAAACTTACAAGCATCGACGGAAATCATGAAAAAACAAGCCATATATTGTAAGTTTGCCACATCAGCCACACAGAGAAATAAGCTTAAGACAGTTTAATAAAGCCTTAGCCTGTAAGACATATTTTTTGGGGGAAAAAGAAGTTCAGATAATGAAAGTAAGCAGGAAAAAGGTTGGAATGGCTAGCAGGATTTTCACATACTTGTTTGGAATGTTCTTTATCATCAATGTGGTTCGGCTGTCATCACCACGCAGTATGCAGTCAATATCAAGTTCATATTGTTTCTTATCCGAATGATTCGAATTCGATTCAATTCTACGATGTGAGAGATTCCGCACACGCTCATTAGGAGAACCAAAAGAGGCTGGCATCGAAATCATTGGGTTCCTCCCAGGGAACATGTGGCACATCTGTGGAGAGGTTGGTAGGCCAGTGCCTTTAGTCATGTCCATACAACTTCCACCGACATTAGGGAAAATGTTATGGGAGGCAATTTCCATTGGATGTGGTGGAGAGCTACCAGGAAAACCTACACTCCCAAGGGAACCCAGGTGAAAACTAGAAGCTTCAGGAGACTCCCCAGAAAATGTGTTCCGCCTCTCCCACAGAGAAGGATTGACAGCCGGTGCAGATCCAATGTGCTGGGGTGCAGGTGCAGAGTTCAGCATGACTGTACGGCCTCTAGGGAATCCAGGCACGTGTGGAAGGTGATGAGCATGAACACTGTTGACAAACGATGGTGAATTTGGCCAAATCATGCCATTTGATGGATGTGGCTGACCTGACTTAGAATTCTTCCATATATAATGATGACCAGGAAGAGTGCAGCTTCCAGTTCCAGGAGATCCAAAAACTAGAAGAAGATTCCACATAATAATGAAAATAACAAAACAATCAGTAAATTAAAAATTGAGGAAACTTTAATAACAATGGGAAATGAGATTTTAACTTTTTAAAGAGAAAAATGAAATGACTGGTTCAGTTTACATATAAACCAAAACTGCTTGCAGCAAACTGCATTTTCTCTATTAAAAAGATATAACAGATTTAGAAAACCATAATTATTCAATATCTCTGAAGCATTAATATAGCTGTTCTTTTTTTATATTTATCCGCACAACAAACACATATTTTCACATTTACATGTTTGCTAACGTCCAACTTTTAAAAAGCCCAAGGCCATCTTCAACAAATCAAAATTAGGAATCTATACTCTCTCATCATAAGAAAGTCTAGTTACTGATTTTCATTCCTCTCATCAAAAAGATAAACAAGAAAAGGAAAGTATAAATGAAATGGAGCATGGCACATGATGATCATCTGAACTTACCCCCTCCATTAAGCTCCATCAGGTGCCCATTTGACCCTACCCCTCGAAAGTGTAAGCTGTTAATTCCTTCTGTCACTTTGGAAGTGAAACTGCTGGCCATGTCTCTGATAGTGCTTGGAGAGTTGTATGGAATAGTATTGGCCAAACTATCATGATACTCCGGCAAGGAATGAGGATGATTGCTTGGAATACATCGGTTGCCGAACTTCATTTCAGCCATGGAGAATTGTTTGGCAGCAGCTGCTGTCACTGGAGATGGTAAGTTGCTTGAAACACTAGAACTCCTATGAAGTTCAGTGAATGCACCCAGCTGTGACGGGATAGCAGAATACGAAACCTGAGAAGATCCATTCGCCATGTAGCTAGATGCTGATATTCCAGGAGAAAATGTTGCTGTTAAACATGTTTTCAGATCATGAGGGGGAAAAAATCCTATAAGAAACACACTTAAGCTGATTTAATTGAAACAAATTGTCAGACAAAATCCTTACCCAGTGGTCTAGACAACAAGTCATTAGAAGGACTTTGAAAAAGATTAGGTTCAGTTTGCTCATGCTCAGGCTGTTGCATCAAGCTGCCAAGAAAAAATTGAATAAATTATCAGCAGCATCCATGGAGATTAAAAGGGGGAAGAACAGTTGGAAATCTGCTAGCAGCATATTAAAGAAACAGAGAATCACCAATCCTAGTTCAAGCAGAAAAAAGATAGAAGCAAAGAGTCAAAATAAACATAAGGTAGCAAACAATTTGGACTCTTCCTATTTTAAGACCACATAATAAAATATTAGATCCACAGAGCCCCATTAGAAGCTAATTTCAATCTTGATAGGGAACCATGCTATAGAAACTGTTTCATGTGAAGTGAAATACCTTCTAGTGCCCCATGGATGACCTGATTCAACCTTGATCTGCTTGCCAGCAATGTCGCTCCTATTTAGTGCAGAAAGAGCTGCTTCTGCAGCCCTAATGTCATAATACTCTACGAATTTGTGATGATGCTTGTGTGGGGATTCATGGATCTGCAAGCCACATACAAATAATGGAATAAATTGGGAACTTTTTCATCTTTATGTAAAAACCAAAAGAATACCCCACAAACCAATTACCTCTTTAATTTCCCCATAAACACCAAACATTTGGTGAAGCTCGTCAATTGAAACAGAAGAATCAAGGTTTAAGACCACTAGAGTGCTCTGGTTCATATCTTTCTCTGATGGATTGTCCTGATAGAATAGAAAGCCAAGGAAAAAAAAAAAAAACACCCAAGCAAAAAAAGGTCAAATGAGCAGAGACATAAGTCAGATATATACAGAGAAAGCAGAGAAACAAACATAATCATGTCCATAAGTTCAAAATAAAAATATAACACTGACGCACTTTTGGAATTGAATAATGTATGTCAAGTTTCCTACGCCTTAATGGTTTATTTTGAAGTGCATTCATTGCATTTCGAGCTGCTCTTATATCATAATAAGAAATCATCACAAAGCCACGGTGCTTGCAGGCTGTATAGAGAGTTCTGATATCTCCATATTGCTGACAGAACAAAAAACAAATGTCAGATAACTTGCTGGATAAACTGGATGGACTTGCTGACAAAAAAGCCAAATAAATTACTGCAGAACATGGGATAATATGCACCTCAAAAAGAGCCTTCAATTCAGAATCTTCAACGTTGCTATTGATGTTTCTGACAAAAAGCGTTCTAGAAGGATGTCCAACAACAATTGAACCATTAGCATCCCCTTGACCATTGGAAACTCCCCGGGGAGAACTGAATTTCCTTGCCCCACATCCCCTTCTAATTCCATGCCTCCACCACTACTGAACAGGTCAAAATCTTCCAGATCATCCAAGTTATTGATCTGAGCATCAAGCCCCAATTCAGTAGTCACTCCAGAAAACAGGTTATCATCAGGAGGGAGGAGATTTCCAATAGTTTTTGCCTCAAGTTCTTCAAGAGATTCAAAAGGCTCCTCTTCCTCATGGGAGGAAGTAATGGTTTTAGCAGGTTGATGAGATTGAATGTCATTTCCCGACAACCTCACTGCAAAATAGGCACAGTAAATTTGTTCAAATGTATGGCAATTGGTAACTTGAGATTTTTGAGAAAGGAGTAACAGCAGGAAGAAAAGGATCAAACTATAAAATGCATTGCTGAAAAGATAGTCGATAAAAAATTTAGACATGTTCAAAGATTTTTCTTGACAAAATAGAGTTTGCAATTAATATTAAAAAAAGGGAGAGAGAGTTTGCAATTTACATGTACATTAACATGACGGTAAATTCATCTCTCCACAACACATGATGTGGTAAGGAATGGCACAAGAGAACACAGGAATTAAAAAAAAACAGTTGAGTTTATGAAGAAAAGTAGGCTTACACTTTCTACTGAATATTTCAGAAAACGAGCTTGAGAAGAGACTTCTTTCCCACTGGGTCCCACTGATATCAGCCCTACTTCTCGCTGTACTATAAGATGCAGGTTGCATTGACAAACTTGACCAGGATTTTGGATGATGATCTATAGAACTCCATGCATGCTTGGACATATTAGCACTTCCTTCACTGATAAGTGACTTCTCCTTCTGATCTTTCGCTATAACTGACTGTGATAACTCCGCATAATGCATTGACAGTGCCCCGCCAGATGAAAATTCCAAAGGTGAAGAAGCAACGCAGTTGCTGCTGGGAATAGGTATCTTTCCATCCATTCCAACTGAGGGACAAGATTACACAACAATCAAAACTAGGAAATCCTCCAGGCAAATCCTGTAGGCAATTATATTCTTCCTAGAAACTTCACATGTTGTTCCAGAACACAACCAGGCAGATTCATTTAAGAGATTTGAACATTTATGGCACTAAGATATTAATTAAGAATCATTAGATACTGAAACAGGAACACTATGCAAGTGATTACAGACTTTATAAAAACCGTCGTTTCACAACACTGTAACAGAAACGGGAGAACAAAGATTGAACAAAATATCCGAACTTGAGTGGAGTAAAATATTAATCTAGATATCATGATTATTAGACAACAAACAAGAACTTTAAACAGCCAAAGAAATACCAGAGACACTTATGGAAAAATATTGATGATACTAATTCGATTTAAAATGTAATAAATCATAAATTTGAGCCATGTGCTCAAACATTCACTCCATTTGGAGCACTCAAATTCTCCATTGACTTGACTTTGACGCCAAAAATGTCCAAGTTAAGCTATGCTAGCTGTGGTCCACTACAAACAGCCAATTCCATTGGAGAAGGCTTTTAAACAACATTAATTAGCAGATTGAAGTAGTTCAAAAGGTAAATAATTAAATGGCACCAACCTTGATGATCCGGCATTGCATTCAGCTTCCAAAACCCAATTTGTCTCTGTCCAATACAAGTTGCGAACACGTCACTTAAATAACAAACAAAAAATAATATCACAGTACTACTTCTTTCAGGTACAATGATTGATACCTAGTGATAAACAGAAAGATAATCCAAATACAGCACACATAAATGCAATGCAATCTATATTACTTTTTTATAAAAAAAAAAAAAAAAAAAGGGTTACCAGATAAACTTTTGAACTTACCTCAGCAGGAAAACGAACGTCCTCAAAATAGTGAGGGGATGCAGTAGTACTACCCCTATGATCCATAACTTCAAACGGCATGGTGCAGCTTTAGACACCCAAAAATCTCAACAAAGATCTCTCTTTGATATCAAAATTCTCGGCTCTGCCCACTGCTCATTGCTTGCCCTTCTTCTGTACAGCACTCAAAAAGTCAGTTTCTTCAAACATAACAAACAACTAAGAGACTTTGATGTCTTTTTAGGTAGTTTAAAAAAAAAACACAAAAAAAACAAAACAGTTCAAGGCTACATGATTTTAAATTCTAAAAAGTGGGAAACAGTTATCAAAATTAAAGAAGCATGAACCAACAAAACAACTAGTTGTTCAATGACACAAAAAGTTGGTACTTTCTAGTTAAATTACCAAACCCAAAAGAGGTTATGCCAAAAAAAAAAAAAAAAAAAAAGAACAAAAAAACAAAAAGAAAATGACTCTTTTACAACCTGAAATACTATAAAAATCAGTAAATTATTATCGAAAAAGAGAAACCCACTAGCCTACCCACCAACGACCAAAACATTATTGCAAATGCAACCTTTGATTTCTCAAACAGAATTGCAATGATAACTTCCTAATTACTTTCACTTTTTTAAAAAATAAAAATATTAAGACCTCGCTCACAGGGTGAATTTTTCCATTTTTAGAAAACTCAAAAAACAGAAAGGAAATGTAGCAGATCAAGCAAAAAGTAAAATCGCAAGCAAGCTCCAGTTTTGAAGGAATTGTAACTACTTAAAATTAACCATTTTTAAGACACAAAATATCAATGCTAAATCACCAAAAAAATGCTCAGATTTTTTTCCCAAATTCGCAATCTGACCAACCTAAATGAGCCAAAACCAAAAAAAAAAAATCGAACTTTTTAAAACGTATTATAAACTTAAACCTCAAAATTAAGATTAGAAAATCCCAGCTTTTAGAACACGATAATCACTCCAAAAAAAAAGTTGAATTTCTTATGACCAGAATTTGACCTGGTCTAATAAAACAGAAAAAAAAAAAAAAAAAAAAAAAAAAACCCACCTTTCCAGAAAAAAAGTTTAATCACCTTCACCATCTCCAAAGACTCCAATTTCCCTCTCTCAAAAAATTGCGAAGATTACAAAGAGAAAGAAAAAAGAAGAAGAAATACACAATTAAGCAAGAAGGATAGAAGAGAGAAAGAGAAAGAGAAATGAAATTCCAAATTTGTGACCTACTAGAGAATCATTTTTTTTAGCCAATGCAAGCTTTTTCTTAGATGAAAAGAAAGAGAGAGATACAAATTGAAGGAAAGAAACAACAACAACAACAACAAAAAAACGAGAGAGAATTTACTTTTGTTATGAAACAATTTGGAATCCACAAGTGAAAACCATGAAAAATCCGTCGAGATTTGGGTCGCCGGCGACTCAGTGATTTTCAGAGAGAGAGAGAGAGAGCGAGGAACAGCATGTAGTTAGTTGAGGAGGGGGTTTGGTTTGAAAAAAAGACAAAACAGAAATGAAATAGGCGGGTGTAAGTAAGTGTAAGACTCTGATCTGATGGGAAACATTAATTTTATTTTTATTTTTTATTTTTTTATGTGCATAAAACGGGACGGAATAGAGCAAGGCTGGTATTGGACGGAATATTTGGTTTGGGTTCTCTACTTAACGCCGTTATGTTGGAAGTTTGACCACTACCCATACCTTTTTTCGGTTCCACTGCCACTAATTTCTTTTTTACGTGGGTCAATTTTCGCACCTCCATATTAAGTTTATTTATATATTAACTTACAAGAATTTTATTTTTTATTACCTGAATTGAGATTTAATACAGATGAAGCATATATATTAACTTAATCATTGGGGTAAGGTTTACCTTTTTCTGGTTTTTTTCTTTCAAAAAATAATGAAAAAAAATTTAGTAAAATTCTAAAAAATTTTTTGAAAATCACTTTAGAGACAACAATTCAGAAATTACAAAATAAAATTTTTAACCTTTTTTTAATGTTATATAATATAAAAAAACATTTTAATACTCCGTATCATCAAATACTTTTTTATAATTATAATATTCACGATTATTATCGCTACCGTGACCACTAGCTAAAGTAAATGGTGGAGTGGCTACGATTTGTTGGCTGGATGGAGCCGTAATGGGTGCTGTATTTTGATGCTTTGAAGTCACGGAACCGTTGTTTAGTAACCTAGTTTGCCGCTACCATGTATTCCAACTGTACATAACTTACCTCGACACTAGGTTTCGTGGAGATATTTTTTTGTAAATTGATTTAATTTTATATTTTTATTTAATTAAAAGAAAAGTTGTTGGTGTATTTTGTTGAGAATAATTTTTTCTTTAAAATCAAAAGATTATTTATGCACTGGAGCCATTTCTTTCTAATCAAAAGTTAGCATACTAATTTCTAAATTATTGATTTTAACCTATGTTATCTATTTAAAAAAATATACATAGGTTCATTTTTATGTTATCTATCTAAAAAAAATATATAGGTTCATTTTCAAAAAATAAAAAGGTTTTGCACAAATCGAAAACTCGTACAACTCGAATTTTGTTTATTGAGACTTTAAGTTTTTTTGTCCAATTTAAAAGTTCTATTTTTATATTATTGTTTCATACCCTAATATATTACGTAAGCGCATATTTCAAACTTTAACAAATGACAGCTTACCACTTATTATAATAGATTCAAATTTAATGATTGAATTGATGACGTGGTAAGTTGTCATTAGATAAAACGCATATATGGTAAATTGTCATTAGTTAGGATATGAAATAACAATAATATAAGAATAAAACTCTTAAATTAGATGAAAAATTAAAATTTTAATAAAAAAATTCAAATTGTATGAAATTTTGATATGCCTAAAATTCAAAAAAGAAAAGTATGCTAAATCTAATTAAAAATCTGGATAATTTACCTCTTAAAACTGGAGGGAAGAGGGAAGCCATATCCTCCAAAAAGTTACCTAGAGCCGTTTTTTCAAAGGCCTTTTTTTTTTTTTTTTTTGACTCTAATTGTTCCTGTCATTTTAGAAGGTAAAACTCAAAGCAACCTTTGATATTTTTATAATATGATGGAACGTTTAATCATCCCATGTTTTAGCCTTTTCTCCTTAAAATACAACTCAAAGAATCATTATTAAGTTCGTTTTCATCAATTACAAGGACTTCAGTCCATATCAAATGAGATGCAAATAGGTAAATGGTTTTAGTCAAACCTGCCCAAATGAGAAAAAAGAAAAAAAAAAAAAAAAAAAAGGAAAATGTTGCTTCTTACCATTCCTTTTCATTTCTTTTAATTTACAAAATGCAAATAGTAACTGTCCTCGAGGGGAAGGGTTGGACTCATGTGAAGGAAACCATGTCTGCCATTAAAGAAATTGGGTGAGTTTGGTATTGGTAGTTATGAACAACTTCAAGGCAAAAAAACAATAGATACCAAAACGTTTATGAATTGTAAAGTGTGCCTTTTATCTTTCTCAGAATTGCTTAAAATGAGTGTCGTGTACGAAATGTTTTGGATTTCAGAACAAACTCAGAAGCTGTCCTCTTTAATACAAGATAAGGCATTTTGATCCTCCTCCTTTGTCTAAAAAAAAAAAAAAAGATTATGGGAATGCTCCTTCTTCTTTCTTTATCGCTTTGTGTGGAGAGGAGGCAGGGGAGACATAAAAACCACACTGGCTGGCACCTTTTTTGACATATCCGAATCTAGATGCCCAATTGGCCAATCCCTTTTAATTACCCTTTATTTTATTAGCAAAATCCTCCCGTAATAGATGCCTTAATCATTTCATGTTGACTTGTCTAGGCCAATTTTTATTTTATTTTTTCCCTCTGTAAAATGACTTCGTCATCCTTTTACCACCCCGAGAGTTTTCTTGCAAGATTTTATCTTCTTTCCATCTTTACAATTGATGTGGCCCAAACCCCAAACCATTCAAGCTTGTCCTTACCTTGAATTTGGCTAAACCAGTAACTTTCTTGCACTTGGCAAACCTCTAACCAATTCAAGTAATTGCTCTTGATTTTGTATTTTAAATTCCTAAAATTAACATTCTGGTCTCGCTGTCAACTTGCCCCCATCAATATTGGTGATTCAATTCCAAACTCCTCTTTTTCTCCTTTTCGGGTAAAAAAAAAGTGTTTTGGGGACGTTAGTCTATCAATTCTTCTCCCAGTTTATATATAATATATGTTGCATCAATATATATATGTTTGAATTTTGTTGTTGTTGTGGAAAAAATGTGTTGAATTTTTTTCATCTCTCGTGAAAAAGAGGAAGATTGTATCTGTTTTTCAAAGTGCTTTTGATGTCAAACAATCGAGTATAATTATAATTTAAGTAACTACACATCATTCGATGCAAAATTATATAATTTTTATCTCTTGACAAATAGTAATATCTTTTTAAAATACTGTTTTCTGATCCACTCCCAAAAAGAAAATAAAGCCTAAATCTGTCACATTTTTCATTCATTGTAGTATTTTATAAAGGAAAGAGTGCTGGCCATGGTAATTAGATTTGGGCTCTCACATGATTGTCTACTAATGACTATTCCTTAACGTGCCAATCTATCCATCTAATCACCACCTAATTCTAAGCAAAACAAAAACATGGGTCATGTCATGTGAGTCTGTTGTTTGCTCGAAAAGGAAAGAACATTAGACAAATGGCCAAGCAAGTGAGAGCGGAGAGAGAGAAAAGAGAAGAGAGGCACCAAGCGGCAAGAATTTGAATGACGGTTCTCTTGTAAAAGGATTAGAAAAGCATTTATTCATGGTACTATACTCCAGGTTTCCATGTGTTATCTTTTTATTGGTTGAATTATCGAAAGCTGCAATAGAAACTCGAAGTACTTTCGTTTGTTTTTAAGGAAAAGGATCAAACCCACTTTTTCTTTTTCTTTTTCTTCTTGGGGTTTGTGCAATTGCATTATCCCTTTGTTTCTAGTTTTTATTTACAAAACGAAAAAAGTTTCTTAGGACTCTTATAAGCAGCATTGATTATAGTCTATAGATAAAAAATTGCTTTCTTTGATTAAAAAAAAAAAAAAAGCTTTGAAAAACTTTAGATGTGATGGCAATTCCAAGCTTTCAATTTGACGCAACTTGGAAATAATTGAGGTCGACGTTTTCAATCTTCTATAAATGATATATTTGAAAAGATTGTTCATTTTAGTGGGACATGACTATTTTATTGATTATTCAATTTCTATAGCTTAAATGCAAATGGAGACGCAATCTGGCAGGTAGATAGATTGGGAAAGAAATATTAAGGCACTATGTAAAAAGAAATGAAAATGGATTTCAATGTACTTATAAGAAATGTTTGAGCAATTTCAACGATACCATGATGATCGTAACCAAGAGAAATACTTTTAAAATAAGAAAGATTTGGATTTGTTCGCATATTAAGTAATATAATGAATTATAATAGTTTAATGTTTTTTTTTATTATTATTATCTGATCAGAGGATATTTTTAAATTATTATGTTCATGAATTGATATTAATTTTTTCTTTCTGACGGTTTAATAATTTTATAGTACATATTTTTTATTTTGTTTGAGTTTAAAATATTCAAAATTTATTTTTTTAAAAAAAAATCTTAACAGATAATATCAAGCTTTAATTTCATAATCTATGGTTGGACCTATCATTTATCTCTAATATGAAAGGATTTTAATCCATGAAATTATATATATATATAAGAAATGAGCTCCAATCCACCAGATTTTTTAGGTGGATTCTTGATAATTTGACAAAAGCCCCACTTACAAGAGGATATATTAATAAATTCAAGTTATTGGATGAAAATTGGATTTCCATATCTGCCAGGTGTCTTAAGTTGCCACATGGTTACATGTTTTTAAAGACTGCCTAAGGTATATGGAGCTGGACTGGTCCCATGAGTTAAGCATTTGCCTAATAATTGAAGAGACCATAGTGTAGCAAGAAAGACTAAATTTAATGAAATTAAAAGATGCTTACCTAACTAAAAAAGTTAGTTTGGGCGTAACAGCTCTAATTATTCAAATAAGTAGTCTCGAATTTTAATTTTTATATACACAATAAACTTTTTGAATAATCACACTTATTTTACATGTACTGATCACTGCTTACCTAATTAAAAAATTAGTTTTAGCGGAAGAGCTGTAGTTGTTCAAATAAGTAGTTTTTAGTTTTAATTTTTATATACATAACAAACTTTTTGAATAATTATGCTTATTTTATATGTTCGACCAAACAACAAAAAATTAATTTGAATTTTTACTCTCGAGATCACAAAAAAAAAAAAGCTGCTTACATTTATTTTCCGGTAGGATTTATAATTTTCCTCTATGTAGGTTGACACATTTATGTAAGTGTTCAATCTAATGTTGATTTTTTTATTTGATAATAAATATATTTTTGAGTTAATTTATATGTTAATCAAGATTATTATTTTTTAAAACGATTTTTAATATGCATCCACCATATCTATGGCTTTGATGCATTTAAAAGGTTTGATAATTTTTTTTAGATACTGTACTCAAGTTTCGAACCTTAAAAAACAAAAATAATAATAAATATATATATATATATATATATATTTTACTATCAGATCAATTTTTCAAAAGTTATTTTGTTATTGAATCGAGACTCTAAAGTTTATCCAAAATAGTACGAATGTAAATTAAATTTCATGTTAGGCTGTAAGGGGCAATTTAGAATTTACATGAACATCTCGTAGCATTACCGTACAAACAATTTACATTTAATACAAAGTTTCATAATAATTCTCTGTCCAAAAGAAGAAGAATAAAAAAAAAGGCTAAGAAAACGATATCAGCATTTACCCGATAATTAAAGAGCAAAAACACGAAGAACACTGCAACACCGAGTGGCCTACCTACATCTACTCGTTGGATTCAGATTTTCTTTATATGGCAGGACGTACATGCATATTCTTTCATGTACACGATCATTGGATTGAACCTCCCATTTTTCTACCAAAATGTGAAAAATTTCATGGCATGCCCATCCAGTCTCAATTTTCAATCTTTTTCTAATAAACCACACCCAATGAAATTAGCAAAATGATTATGAGTTTGTTTGATTCTTATCATCCTTAGGTGCAAATAATTTCATATTTTCGCTGCATTTCCCTACGTTGGTCTCGAATCTATTTTGTACATTTGAGCAATATGGTTTTGAATTTTGCCAATTAGCCCAGAAGCAATATCAATTGTGTTGTGCTGGTGCCCAATCTGAAAAAAATAAATAAATAAACAAAAATAACTTCTGACCAGAAAGTGAAAACCCACATAAATGAAGAAGATCAAGTTTGAAATTTTCAAGAGGAATGACATAATGTACCAGAGTACGCACAAATGCACGCACATTCTTAACGAAAGAACACGTTGTCTTTATGTGGCTACACGAGGCAGGCAGGGTCATCCTGTAATGCAGCTTCTAACAAACTTCCGATAAATCGGACGGTTGCAATGAAAGCGAAAGAGAGAGGGAAAGAGAAACGGTTAAAGATAAAAAGGTTCACGTGTTAATAGTGGTTCCGTGGCCGTTAGATCTACAGCTAGCTAGCTAGCTTGCTTGCTTCTTCTTGTTCTATCGCATATATGAAAGTGACACACGAATGGGCATTGCTCATGGAGCGGAGCGGAGGTGTTTGGAAGTAGCTTTAAAGTTTCTGTTGGAGCTATCCAGAAAAATTGGTTAGAATAAAAATAATTCTAATCCATTAAATTAAATAAAAAGGTTTTGAATTCAAATTTTTGTATATATATATAAATTTTTTTAAATAATTATTTTTTGTTTTATACTTTCAACAAAACAACAAGTTATTAGTTAGATATGAAGAATGCAAAAAAAATTCCAAACAGCTGAATTTCAAATGTTTTTATTTGATTTTATATATTGATGTTAAATTATTAAAAATCATTTGATTTCAATCAAACCGTATCTTAGAAAACATCATTTGTATTCTATTTCGAAACACATTCAGAATCAGTTACTTAATTTTTAGGACACACAAATAATTGTAAGAAGGCACATTCGGTGTAAAATATTAGTATAAAAGGGTATTTCCATCTTTGATCAGTGATATTAGTAAATATTTTAAATTTTGCTTTCGATATATATATAGTATCTTCGATACATATATGTAAATAAATATGAAAGATATAACACTATTTATCTGATTTTTCAGCCTATCTCACCTGAAAAAAAAAAAAAAAAACTTCATGTTGTGGGATTTTTTTATTCTTATTTTTTTAAAAGCATACCCTTGCTTGGTCAAACCATTCACGTCTAAAAAGATGAATAAAAAAAGAAGAGACCTTCTTTAAAAATATTTACTTGGATAAAAAGAGTTTAATTGTTTAAACAAATAGTCTTAAATTCGAGTTATTATATATTTAAAAAATTTATTAAATAGTTATATTTGTCTTATACATTCAATCCAATAACGAATGATTAGTTTGGATATTTAGGTTTGAGATTTTTTTTTTTTTTTTTTTTTTTTTGAGGCGAAAAATGAAAAGAAGAGGTTGAAAAGAACATGGACCACACATGGTACTGCTTTTATTTAGGGTACCTTGGGTAATAAGCTGGGTTTGGTTAGAACTTAATTATAAGGGTTGAGTAGAAGTTTGTTTAGTATGGTGGGCCTAAAGTTCGTACCCGGGGTAGAAAAGAAAAGGTGAAACAGAGCCTGATCGGGAACAGGAAGGATCTGACGAGCAGCTTTTTAACTTCCATGAAAAAGAACTCGCTTTTATGTAACAGCAGCATCCAAGGCAAGGGCCAAAATTGCAAGGACATGATCAGATGTAAGAAATAAATATGTTCCGGCATTAATGTTGCCTTCTTCTTCTTTTTTCTTATTTTTTCCTCTCAAATTATTATTATTATTATTTAACTTTTTTTTAAAGATTGACGATATACATAAATTGGCATGCGTGCATGTTAGTTGTAAGCTTTGATTTTTTTAATAAATAATTAAATAATAATATTATTAATAATAATTTGAGAGAAGAAAGCAAAACAAAAAAAAGACAATATAATCATTTAGTTTTTTAAGTTAACGAACATGTCATTAGTAGAAGGAAAATTTAATAGATAAACTTGATTGGCATTTTCGAAAAAGTTAATATACTCAAACAAAAAAAAATAAAAATTAATATACTTAATTGAAAAAAGATTCAAAATTAGTATACTTATAATGTAGTTTTTCCAATTTTTAATCCTACCCTTGTATTTAAAAAAATAATGAAAAATGAAAATGTAACATTTAGTTTGCCTTTATTTTTCAATACATTTATATATCAATTTTTTTATTTAAAACATTTGTTTGTTTCATCTAAGGATATTATTAGAAAGTATTTAAGTTAATTAATAAGAAAACTATACGCATAATACATGTGATTTTTTATTTTAATAAAAATATCGGTTCCTGAATATATTAAAGAATATAAATAAACCAAGTGTTATGATTAGTTGACTTGTATTAAATATATATATATAGGCGACGAAACAATAGAACCAATCACCATAGCTCACGCTTTAATAGTCTCCAAGTACAGCATGTCCATGTGACTGTAGATGATGAATCGATTATGGAGTCTCAATGATGGGGCCCAGGAAAGCGGACAAAGACAATAACTCAGCTGTTCCCTTTGCATTTTGTAAGGATAAAAAAAGAAAAAAATAATAAAATTTTACATCATGATTGGTGGGCCATGAAGGGAAATAAGTGGCACAGCCCCACTTCATTTTCATGCGCGTGTAAAGGGTAAACTAGCACACACCAAATCAATTTCAACTTTTACCCCCTTTTTCTTGAGTAAATTATTCGTTAATCTCTAAGTTTTTTAACACAATTATAACTTAGTCCTTTACTCTTGAAAACTTATAAGGTAATCCCTTAACTCTTGTTGATCTTTGTCTTATCAAAACATCCGACTGTTTGTTTTTTGTTATTTTGTTTTTATAGGTGAATACCATATGTGAAATCTAACAATATATAAACCAATGTATGTTTTGGAAAAGCAAAGGTTGACAAGAGTCCAAGGATTAAATATCTATTTTCAAATGTAAAGGACTAAGTCATAACTTAATTTAAAATTCAAGTATTAAGTATTAATTTACTACTTCATTTTACAATTGATGCATATCAAAAAACAAAACTAAAAGAATAAGGATTCTAACTGTTCATCTAGACTAAATCGCATTGTGAATATTGTACTCCGAGTGGCCTTCCTTCTCTCTCGATCGTCTATTTTTTTTATCTCTTTTTGTTCTTTTGATTTACAACCGTTCTTTTCTCTTCTTTGTCGTCCTCCTTTGCTTTTCTAATTACATTATTGTCCATATTCCTTTTATTCTCTCTTTCTCGCCTTTTTAACCCTCTCTTTTTACCTTCTTTTATTCTTCGATCGTTCTTGCCTTATTTGTTTGCTATTTTTGTTATTTGTGTGCTAATATTCCGTTCGGGTTTGCAATCCCCCTAAGTCAACCTCGCCTATTCAAATCATCATACTCGTGAGCCTCCATCCTACTTTACACCCTCCTATGCTTGTTATCGGTTCACCCCACACCGTACTTGTAAAAAACTCTTATGCCATCATTGATGCGGAACCAACAATCCGACAAACATACAAAAATAACAACAAATAAGGAAGATGAGGTCGGTTTTTTTAAAAAAAAATTTGAAGAAAACAAAGCGATAATCGAAAAAAAGAAACTAAAATTGAAAAAAAAAACACAAATAGAAGAAAAGGATTTACCTATTTAATTGGAGTAGTAATACCTCTCGCCATCATCCTTAATTCAAATTTCTCTAGGTAAACTAATCATCTTAATGTAATTTTTTTTCATATTTAAGGTTTCGGGTAGTTTTGGGTTTCGGAATTTAGGGATTTTTGAGTTTGGATTGAAATTGAGTTTAAATAATTGAAAGAAAGACTAATTAAAGGTATTAGGGTCATCAATTTAGGGATTGAACCCAAAATTTAAGCCGAATTAAATTAGATTGAAACCTAGGGTTTCTATATTTTTTAACATTAGTAAAATTTAAGATTTTTTTAACAAATTGAGTTTTAAGAGGCTTGAATTGACATGATCTCGGGAGAAATGAAGGCAATTAAGGCTAATTGGAAAAAAAATTGAAACCTATAGTTCGATCAATTTTGGGTAAAGGATTTAATGAGGGGGTTTTTTATTCCAATAAAGAATCAATAGAGGGAGTGAAAGGTTGAAGGAGGATTAGAGAATAGAGAGTGAACCGAGAGATGAACTATGGTTCGTTCTTCCATGAAGATTGAGCATAGAGAGGGAAAGAGAAGCCGAGATGAGATAGAAGGAAGGAGGAGAAGAGGAGTGGAAGATAGCGAAAAAAGTGAGGGAAGGAAGGAGAGAAAGAGAGAGTGAACATTTCTTTTGAAGAACTAGACAGAGAGAGGAAAAAGAATAAGAGAGAAATCGAAGTGAGAGGAAGAAGCAAAAAAGAAAGAAAAAAAGTTTGATTCGAAAAATAAAAAAAACGAGAAAAAAGAAAGGGGAGGTTTAGTTGGTGTTTGTGGGCTTGGGTCCGGATAAAATTGAAATGGGATAGGCTTAGCCCAACCTATGCGTGGTTAGACCGGGCTAATCTCAACTCGGTCTAGTTTGAAAAAAAGGAAGAAAAAAGAAAAAGAAAAAAGAGAAATTGAATCGAAAAGTGCTACCTATTTATATGTTTTTATGCTAAAAACAAATATGTCTATATATTTTACTCAATAATTAAAAATTATGTACTTACGAATCAGTCCATTTATGTTTCTTAGTGCACAATTAAAAAATTTCGACCATTTTAAAACTCAACCTACATATGCTTATTAGTTGATAATTAAATTTTTTTACACTATGTTAAACTTTGACATACAATAATATTCATAAATTTTATAATATCAAATAAAAAATAACAATAGACAAAAGAAAACTCACATTAGATAAAAAAAAAAAACTATATCATATAAAAAAATTATTGCAACGAGCATTGACATAGTGCTATACAATACTAAAATTTTCTCGGAGCGAAGCTCAAGGCACCCACGCTAGCATAAGCTAGGAAGATAGGAAGGACACATACTTCAAAAATATTTTTATATTCGTATCGAGGTATCGGATATTCATACGTGTTGGACATAATTCAATATAAGTGAGAATATAATAAAAAAATTATTTAATTTGAATACCTATAAAAGATGATAAAGGTACATTGTGGACACAGTTAGGTTAGGACATTTGAGAGACACTTTCATGATTTTTATAGGATTAAAGTTATAATTTTTTAAAATAGTTGGTTTCAAATTTTTCCTATTTTTTGTATGAGTTAAAATACTTAAGCATTTAACTAAATAGAACTTTACTGCAATATTTTTTTTATTGTTATTTTTCAACAACAAAAAATATCATATTTTACATACGAAATACTTTAAATAATATATATATAATTTTACTGTTTCTAATTTTAAAAATTATCTAATCTTATCACAAATAAAAAAAGTTAAAAGAGATATATATGATAATAATTAAATTAAAGAAAAAATAAAAAAAATCATCACTAATCATTTTACAAGCGTCATAATAATTATTGAGATAATTTGAGCTTTAGATGTCCAAATGTATTTCATTGTTAAGTAAATATAAATAGCATAACGTTTATTTACAACTTAGTATAAATGGAATAAAGAAATGCACTGGTAGCTAATTCATTCCGTACGCTAATACGATTCCCATGTTCAGCTGAATACTAAATACGATGTATCAGATTCTAATAATGTTTACTTACCACTCGTCCGATCGATAATTATAGAAAAAAATAATAAAAAAAGCAGTAATATTTTGAAAGAGACTGAAAAACGAAAGGGAAGGAACTTTCTCTCGCACTCTAATGCTCTTACAGCTAGGGTACTAGCTTATGGATCCTGCAAAAAGCAAGCCATGACCCTTCCTCCCAAAGTACGTCATCTATCTTTCTTTTGTTTTATTTCAAGGTTCTTGTTTTGTTCTACGCTCACTGCTGGTTAAAGCCTAAAGGGCATATTTTTGAAAACGAGTAGCTGAAAATGAATTCCCGCCTTTTTCGTTGGAGTTAGTGAAAAGTAACACTCAAGAAGAAGAAGAGAAATTTGTAAATTTAACTGCACAATCATTACCCCTTTTACCCGTTTGTTAAAGGCTACCTAAAGAAATGGAAATGGGTCAGTGGTTGGTGTCAGTGTTCAGAGAACCAATCCATGGCACGGATCAGAATATTCCCTAGTAATGGTGTACGTTTTCTTGGATTTGTGTGATGGTCTGATCTATCAGCCTCCTAACCTAAGATTTTCAGGCATGATCGCATTGGGTTGTCCTTGGCCCATGGAAGAGAGTGCATGGGCGCCAAAGTTATGTTTGGTCCAAATCAAATTAGATTCTTCTAGCTTTGTGATTTTTAGTTTTTCTTTGAAGTCATTGTACATCAATGATTAGATATATATATATTTTTTTGGGATCCTCGAAGTATTCCATATTCGAAGGTTGAGATTAATTATTCTCTATTCGATTAAATATACCAAATAAGTACAATTATTTAAAAATTTTTCTTCATATATAAAAATTTGAACACTAGACCATTTGCTTAGGTGATAAGAACTATTTTCATTTAAATTAATTATTTTTTATATTTTATAAAAATTAAAAGTTTGAATTCTGATAAAAAAAACATATTTCCTTAACCATTGGGCTAACCTATATATAAAAACTCAAATACGAGATCATTTGTTTATGTGATAAGAGCTCATTTTATTTAAGTTAATCTTTTTATATTTGATAAAAAATAAAAGTTTGAATTCTGAAAAAAAAGAAAAAAACATGCTGAAAAAAAAAAACATGTTTGCTTAACCATTGGGCCAACCCATTTACCTAAATGTTAAATAGTGCTGTTAGAGAGGATAAAATTTTGAGACATGTTTTAACCATGCAAATATCTATCATGATTAGAAGAGAGTGGATGGGCATCAAAGTTATGTCTGGCAAGCCAGAATATTTTGAGATGGACTCAGCCCATTTAGAATGAGAGCACTAATATGGGCTTTTGCTCAAGCAGCAAATGGTCCAAATTTTAGATAATTCTAGCCTTTTGCATTTTCATTTTTCTTAAGGCCAACCCAGGGTTCTGTGCAAGTTTGAAAGACGGGACAATCTGCAACTTTAATTTGTCTAGTTAACCATCCCATGGGGTTATGCACAAAAGAAGTCTAAATCTTGTTAGAAGCAAACCAAGAATGGTATAAAGCTTAAACATCAAAATTTGGTTGGCATAAAATTTCTACCTTCAAATGGAAAAAATCCCAAAGAAAGATATATGAAAATCACGGCAATCCTCTCAAACTTTAAACTAAAACAGTTTGTTACTCTCAGTCACCAACCAAGATTATCAAAATTTCCTTTTCGGTTCCTCTCATGAGCAAAAAACTAGATGTAATTGAGTTACTTCTTATCAAAGAATTAACCTAAATGGCAACATGCTTAGACAGAAGCTAAATTTCATCCTTGATACCCTCTCATACATATGATCAAAATAGCTTACAGCAAAAATAAAGAGGGCCAATCCTTCAAGTTTAATATCTTTTGATGGTCAATAGTAGCATTAATTAGGTTACTAATCAGCGCCTATATAAAGATAAGTTCACTAAATCACCATACCAATGATAGAAATTGCAGCCTCTATAATTTCTTGACATGGAGGCATGCATCGAAGTTCTATGTTGCCATCCAGATATAAACACGTTTATGCTCAGAACAAGACCATGCAGCATTAAGGGATTGGCTAGCTGCAACAAGCAATATAGGTAGTAGGACACAAAACATATTTTGCAAGGTTAACCCCAAAGGACTTAATTTTGAAAGATCTAATCTAAAATTGAGTGAAAAAGTACACAAAATAGTAGGATTTGTGCCCTTTTTAAGAACTGATAGATACTTCCAAGAAGTAATGGAATTCATTCAATTTTAAGATGCTCTCCTCGTGCGAGAAGGAATCCAAATCACCACCCCATAAGACCACAAGGGAGACAAAACATTTAACTTAGATGTCCATTCAATACTATTTCAGTTCAATTTGCACCAGACTTGACAATGATGGCGCCTTTGAAGAACAAGTCATATCATGAGCACCAATCATACCACTTGACGTATGTCTACAACAAGAAAACAAATCATAGCTGTGGCCCAATAAAATCAGTTAATAATAATGATTGCCGCGTGGGGACTATAGGTAAAGACTAGAGTCAGCTTTTGTTTTGTTTTTTGCTTAGTTTGGTTTTCCACCTGGAAGTCAGCACAAGGACATGTGACTGTATATGTAAATCTGACATGACATCCTAGTAAATTGAAATGTTCTCATATCTTATCCATCCATTAGAGAGTTATAACAAGCATATTAACTGTGCAAGCAAAGTATAACATGAGTAGTGAAAAGCACTTGAAGTGGAGGAATATCAGTAGCTGGTAAACAGCACCAAGTAGGGAGAGGATCAATGGTAATTTCATAATATTGCTAAGTGCTTAAACAATTAATATTACAAGCAGTTCTAATTAGGAATCATCTTTTTGTGTACAAAGATTTACAATGCACTAAATATGGTTCTCTCAAAATCGAGATGGGCAGTTGTTAACTATCAGGAATATTTACAACACTTGTAGTGGCCTTATCTTCCTTTTTCGATGTTTTCCTCCTCTTTCTCTCAGACTGGGGCTCTTTTGCTTTCAGATCATTGCAAAATGACCTCAATAAGGCAGTCAGATGTTCGTTTCTGTGAGCTAAAAGACAAAATAAATGTAGAACGTAAGGAGGACGATACTTGTGATGTTTTCTCACATATTGAAGGGAAAAAAGAAAGGACACCTTTCCTTCTCACTCTATTTGAGATCTTTTGGCAGAAGCGTGAGGAAGAGCAAATATCACTTGCATCATAATAATAATACTAGAAAGTACTCAAACAAACAAAGAGAAATAAAGGTAGAAAAGAACAACTATACCATTCTTTTTCTAGACTAAGGAGTTACAAAACTCACCAGAAAGGATGACATCTTCCATGTTCACAGATTTACGACCAGCATGCTGTGCAAATAGCTCAAGTTCCTTTGCAAGTTGTTCTGATTATCAAAAGAGTATACAGTTCATTAGTTTAATCAAGCTTTATCTAACAGTGGACAAATAAATCTTCTCTACCAGCTTAGAGTTTCTCGCAAAGGAAACCTCAAGGAATTGTATTAATGGAATCTCATAATTCTTCTTAGTAATAATTGTTTACTAGCAGTTTTTCCTTATGGTAAGTTCCATTACTAAACAATTAGCAGAGTTTGATCTGCCACTGAAGAATTATACAACGAATAGAAGACAATATTCAATAAGCAGCATTAAACCTCCCAACTCAGTTAGTTAACCTCACAAGAATGAACTCTCAACTTGTTCAGCTTGACTAAGCCTCTCTCAAACTAAGCTAAAAAGAATCAGATAAATGGATACTTATTCTCCATAAGTGTGCAACCATCAGTTTGTAGTTGCACCAACAAAAATCATCAATAACTTGGTCTGTGCTAGTGCAGGTACAACCCAAAGATGATCAGAATCATTGAATATTTTACAGTGCAGTGGCTGACAGCAGTTGGAGATTATGAATTGTGGTAAATAAAATCACCATAAAATCAGCTGATGTAGGACGGAATAGTAACAAAGGTAGAAAGAAATAGAATTCCCTATAGGAGAGGGAAAAATTAATGAAGAAGAAAGAAACCCTATAGAAGATGGTAAATCCCTATAGAAGAGGGCTGAAGAACTGAAAGAAACCAACATACTCTGAAATTTTAATTCATAATCAAAATTCTAAAAAGGATATGGTGTCTATTTAGACACCAAGAAACCCTAGTGTCCTACACTAAATAGGAAAAAAGAGTCCTAATAATAATAATAATAATAATAAAATACTAAAAATCTTCCTAATTAATATTAAAATTCTAAATGTACAAAATTACAACCAAACATGTAAACTCTCTTGTTCCTACATGGATAATCATCTTTATCAAATATGCATAATGATCAGCTGTTCTGTCAAGTTTGGTGCAATGCATGGATTCCACAAACATTGCAGCATGAAGACCAAAATGGGTGATGAATTTTGCATACCATTATTGGTTGATGAACAATAAAAAAAAAAAATTCATGGACCTATTAGCAGTGTGCTGCATCGACAACTGCTGAATCACTGTCCTAAATAAACACAGAAAAAGGTCTAGGGTAAATTTCAACACAACTACCATGCTAAACTACAATGGGTAACTTGAGGGATCTGTCAAGACCAAGTAATGTAAACCCAGCTAAATTTAAAAATTCATCCCCATAAACTGCATACCATACCCAAAACATTGCTTAAATTGAGCAAACTGCATTGGCTAAAGATTTGCCGATCTTGCAAAATGTCAACACATCAGTAACATGCCAATATGAAATGTTTCAAATGGATATCAATGGAAACAAGCCCTACAAAATCAAAGCAATAGTAACTGTTTGCAACTCAAGTTTATTACCTGTATAATTAAATGCCAAATCGGCAATGCAAGCCATTATTGGTTCAGATATCTCCATGCCACTTTTCTTTGCTGCTCAAAGCGCATCATTCATAACCGTTAAAAATGGACTAAAAATTAAAATCCACTTAATACATAAACAACCAAATAGCCGCGTAAAGAGTATCATGTTAACAAATTGAACCTTCATTCTCGGCAATGGATATGGCAGAGAGTCTAAATCGGTCTTGAAGAATATCGCTCACGGAATCATCTTCTTCTCTTTCTACCTCGCTTCCATTCCCCCTTCCATGTTAAATATTGTAGTTACTGCAAAATGTACGAAAGTTAAAAACGTTAACAATGACAAACGAATTCTAAATTCATACGACACCCAATGAAGCCGCAACATTCTTAAAAAACACCTTTAGCAGCAAGATTACAGAAATATATCAAATGGACTAGTTTCAAACAGTTAACAATCACCTTCGACAAGGAATGTTTACGAACAGATTGACTACATTACCCTTAATATATGATATAACGCACGGGAAACAACAGTTACCAATAAAATTCTGAGTCCACAAAACACCCAATAAAGAAGAATAAGTAACCAAAATCCAATTTATCACTTTTTGCAGAAAATTTAAATAAAGATAATGAAATGGGTTGATCTCACTCCAAACAATCCATAAATTTCTTCTTTGAGGACTTTTCACAAACAAAATACCTACATTATCGATAACATATGATACATTTGAAGTTTCAAGAGTAGAAATTGAATAACCTTGACATTGACAAAAACCCAAGACAGATGTGATAATTTGAGTGACTTTAAACCCTAATTAGCAGCACTGACTGAAGAGGAAGACGCGAGGTCCTTGCAGACAGGGAGGGAGAGAGATGGGGGCTGCCTTTCTCATTTTAACGGTTTCCCCTTGGTGTTAGTAAATTCCGTTGACGACTTGGACTACTTCCTAATCCACGTCATCAGCTTCATCGGGTCCTGTAAAAGTTAATTACAGTTTTCCTCCTTGTTATATCAATTTGTTAAATAATTGCTTAAGATTTGTGATATTTTAACCATTAACTTCAAAAAAAGAAAAAAGAAAAAAGAATAAGTCTTATACATTAAAATGTAAAAGTTGAATTATCCGAAATAAAATACAGATGGTTTGATAAAAAAATAAAATAATAACAAATCTTCTATAGATAAACAAATTAATTTTTTTCTTAAAATTGTTGGATACATGTTCTTTCACACACGATGGGTTAGGTGGGTGTTAAGGGTCATGTTACCAAGTGGGAAAATAAAACATTGATATTATTTGATTGCCAAAAATATAATGATAAGAATGAAAATTGGAGTTTTATTCTCACTTTATAATTATTTTTGCTTGATTGAAAAAAAAAAGATGAAACATTAGAATGAAGAATGAAAACGAAAATAAAAATTACACATAATTGCATTCTCATGTATAAAGTGAAAATAAAAATAAGGAATGAGAATAGATTTTTTTCTTCAAAATAATAACATATTATTTTTATTTATTGTTTATTAATTATTTCTACTACCACCATCGTCACTACTATTGTCTTTATTATTTTTACTACCATTATAGTTGATGAAGTTATTTTTTAATTATTATTCTTGTTTGTTTTAAAAATCAGATATTAAAAAATTTAAATTTCATTATGATTTTTTATTAGTGTTCCAAACAAAATATGAAAAAATAAATGTCATTTCGATTATTTTATTTTCATTCCGATTTATGCATTCTCATTCGAACCTGTCCTTTTTAGTAACCAAACAACACCCTAAAATCATAAAGATTTTTTTTTCTTGAAATAATTACTCTTCAAACAATCCGGAAGAAAATAAAACATTGATATTATTTGATTACCAAAAATATAATGATAAGAATGAAAATTAGAGTTTTATTCTCACTTTATAATTGCTTGATTGAAAAAAAGAAGAAAAATTAAAATGAAGAATGAAAACGAGAATAAAAATTACACATAATTGCATTCCCATATATAAAATGAAAATAAAAATAAGGAATGAGAATAGATTTTTTTCTTCAAAATAATAACATATTATTTTTATTTATTGCTTATTAATTATTTCTACTACCATCATCGTTACTACTATTGTCTCTATTATTTTTACTATCATTATAGTTGATGAAGTTATTTTTTAATTATTATTCTTGTTTGTTTTAAAAATCAGATATTAAAAAATTTAAATTTCATTCTGATTTTTTATTAGTGTTCCAAACAAAATATGAAAAAATAAATATCATTTCGATTCTTTTATTTTCATTCTGATTCATGCATTCTCATTCTGAACCTTTTATTCTTAGTAACCAAACCACACCTAAAATCATAAAGATTTTTTTTTTTTTGAAATAATTACTCTTCAAACAATCCAGAAGAAAAGTTGTTCAAATTATCAACGTATGCTTTTTAAACAACAGGTGGCGAGTTCAATTTTCGCTCTCTTATGCTGTTCTCCTTTGTGCGGTCTAAAGGCCATTAAAGGCCCAAAGCCTTTGGGTTATGAACAAAAGATGGGCTCATTTAGCCCAAATTAAGAGGGCTGCTTGACTGTCCATTAGTTGGGTTGGCTCATGACGACACCATTGATGCCTTATTTCCACATAAATTACCTAAAAAAGTTCTGCAATTTAATACCAATTTATGAAGGTTTAATTTTCTTTGGAGAATACTGTTTTTTTTTTTTTTTTTTTTTTTTTGAAGGAGTTACGAGCTATAAATCCACAGGTAAGTTTAGCTATTAGAAGTATGGCATCACAATGTTTTAACTATGGATACAAAGCTTTCATCACAGAGTTTTCCTTGAAAGAGGATACATTGACAGCTTCTGATGACTCAAAATTATTTGCAGTTAAGGAAAAGACAGCAAGATTCGTATATTCCTTTTGTTTTCCTGTAATAAATTTCTTCCTGTACACGGTAAGAATATTGCAAGACCACAAAATTTCGTCAAGAAATTGATCAGCCAAATGTATCCACAAAATTTATACCATTGGATATAATACTTTTGCCTATAGGCCATTTGTTCATATCTCAAATTAAATGGAAATGACTAAATTTAGCTTGGCACCCCTAATGAAGTAGGATTTTGGACTTGAGAGCATCTGAATCCTGGTGAATCAATGCATTAATAAACCATGATTTTGTTGTCCAGACTGTGTGTAGTGAAAAAACATTGAATGGGGGGATTTCTTTGATTTGGTAATCAACTGAGTTTTAAATGTTCCCTCTGCCCTGTAAAGTAGCATAATTAACCATACCATAGGGTGCTATGGTTACAAATGACTCCCACATGGATAGAGAAGAAATCCTGTAAATTTGAAGTGCACATGAAAAATATTGCATTCAGAACAGAACAAAGAACTGCAGGAAACGCTCAGATATTAAACACCAAAGTTGATTTTGCTGCATATACAAAGTCAAAAACTCACCATAAATGAAAAAATCCATCAAAAAACTAATTTTGCCTAACCAATATCTGCCCACCATAAGGCAGGGACTATGATGGAGGCAACTTGTGCCAGGCTATGGTACTATGGCTAGCCTCCAACTGCAAAGGAAGTTTTCCCATGTTTTAACTCATCTTCAACCATGAACAAACCATTCAAAGAGCGCACACGTGCACACGCACAGACGCTCATACAAACAACTCAAAGACAGACACAAATACAAGGACAGCGCACAGACACGCATACAAACAACTCAAAGACAGGCACAAATACAAGGACACACAACGTTATTGTATTGCTAACGGAAACTGGATGTCCTTCGAACTTTCCGTGACAAAACAAGGTGACATCCACATTAGGCAAGAATATCTCCATTTATGGTAGAATCTTAAAGAATGACAATAACTATTAGGGCCTCCATTGACCATAACGTCAGGGATTGGCCTTTATCTTTTGATTTAGGAGAGAGAAGAGTGCTAATTTAGGGTCCAAACCAAAGAAAGCATCCTATTAAACACTGAAAAATACTTGGGGTGGGGGGGGGGGGTGGGTGAGGTTCCCTTTATGGCAGAAAATTGATTAGATGGCAAAAGATATGAAACTGTTCAGTGTTTATCCTTCAAAATAAGGCACTAATCCATCCCACATACATGATACAATCCAGACACCCAAGTAAATCCTTCTCTCCTCTCCTACCTCAGGCAGCAAGTTGAATGGTTCTCTGATTTAAGACCATTCAAACATTTTTAGCCTTGCTGTCATACAGAGTCCACTTGTCATGGCGCCAGAGTCAAATGACAGACAAGAGACACAAGAATTGTCTAGGCCTAACGGAGTTTGTAAAGAACAAGCACCAGATGTGGATGAAAGAACTAAAACAAGACATCCGCGATGGACTAGGCAAGAAACATTTGTCCTAATCGAGGGCAAGAGGGCTGTAGAGCACCGATTTCAACAGAGCCGCAGATCCACTTCAGCCTTGGGATCAAATCAGATTGAACCCAAGTGGGATTCGGTTTCAACATATTGTAGACAGCATGGTGTCAACAGAGGACCTGTTCAATGCCGGAAACGATGGGGAAACATGATTTGTGATTTTAAGAAGATCAAAACATGGGAGTCTCAGAAGGTTAACGAGGCTGAATCATATTGGATGATGAGGAATGAGTCGAGGAGAGAAAGGAAGTTGCCGGGTTTCTTCGATATGGAAGTTTACAATGTCTTGGATGGAAGGATGATCATTACTGAAGCAATTCCATTGTCACAAATCACTCTCAAGAAAGAAATGGATTACACTGATAGAGAAGAGGCGGCAACTGCAGAGGAAGAAGAGGAGGAAGAACATGAAGAAACCGAGGCAATTTTTGATAGCAATCAAAGTGCAACAGCAGAAAATGGTTTGTTTATAGATTGTGAACAATTTGGACAGGATGAAATTTACTGGAGCTCCATGAAGGAAACTGCAGCAAATGGGGATCTCAGACAGACAAAGGCAAATCCATTGCCCAAACCATCAGGTTACCTTACGCGAAATTCATTCCTTATCTGATTGGTAGAGAAATTATGTTGCAAGGTGAATTACAGATTACAGTTTTGCTTGTTTTTGTACCTCAACCAATGTCAATTTGCTAGGGATACTCTAACCCAGGTAACAAAAAAATCTGCTGAATATGACCACTTTTTATAATCTCTAATTCTAGGACCTTAGAATGGGAAACAACTCACACTTGAAATTCCCAAAACAAGTCCTCTCAATTGGCTCCTAGGCCTTTTCCGACTGTGGTTACCAAAGTTCAAGGCAAAGGACTAGTTTTACTACCCAAAAAAAAAAAAAAAACAATCAGTTGAACATTCAGTTAAATTTATCTTTTGATTCCCCAACCTGTGGTTTCAACACAGAGCTGCTTCACTGGCAAATTTTTTTTCACATGTATTATGTGTCACAGCTTCATTCTAATCCTCACCTGGTAGTTTACTAATGTATGAAAAATTCCATATTTGCAAGTAGAATGTACATAAATCACTCATGATCACGTTCCAACCTAAGCTATAACCAGCTTGAGTCAACTATTTTATTAAACGATATCCACTATGTTCTCATTCTCTCTCCAATTTTCTCTTCAAGACATATGTCTCTGCTTATGCTGCATTCTGAATTATACCTTCACATGCTTGCTGTAACTATCATAACAAAAACTAGCCTGCTAGGTTTGTGTAATGTTAGATTGCAGAAGCACATTTATGTTATGTTCTGTCCAATAATGTATTACCGTCACAGTCACAGTCATGTATCCTTCTTGATTTTGTGTCATTTTCAATATTAAAAAATGTTTATAGAATTCAATCTTACGCGCTTTTTTGTTTGTCAAAAAATGATTTTCTTGTCCAGTGCATGTAGGTACAACCAGAAAACAAAATCCAGGATCTAATACATGGACAGGATCGATGTCTAGGGAGGGGAAGAAGAGGCGATTATCATCAGATGAATGTGAAGACACTGATCTTGAGGATAGATTGATCAAAGTTTTAGGGAGGAACATGAACATGCTGAAGTCCCAACTACAAGCTCAAAACATTAATTGCAAGCTGGATAGAGAAGAAAGGAAGGACCAAAACGATAGCTTGGTCAGTGCTCTCAATAAGCTCACAGATGCTATAGTAAAAATTGCTGATAAGATATAAGCTAATGGTTCAAAACAAAGAGATGTTTATGAAGCTTCCTGCATTGTAGTTGAGCATTATGACATATGTTAGCCAGGATTTATCTCCAGTTTCTTCTTTATGAAAATAATTGATATGATATGCATCAGACATAATATTTGTTTTTTTTATTGAATAATTCTGCTATGCTTGAATTTCAACATCAAATGATCTGCCAGCATGACAATTTGCTTTATAAGTACTGTTAAAAATTAGAAAAAGGATCAACAGGTTGCAGTAAATATTTGTTTAAGAACCTCAAAGGCCTAAGGACTGCAATGCTAGTCACTCTCTCATCTAGTTTACTGAATTGAAACATGTAAAATGAACATCTTGCAGACAGAGAAGCAAACACAAAGCTGAAAGTAAAAAGGATCAACAGCTCTTTCTAAAGTAGTAAATTGGTGTCATCAGTTGATCACATGGACAATTCAAGGATATTTAGACGAACAACAAAATTTTGCAAGTTGTATCAAACGTTAGATACATGGTCATCTAATATACACTTGAAATACATACAGTAAAGGAATTTAAGGGCGGCATAGAGAGAAAAATCAAGGCTCTACAAATTAGTAAGGAACTCCTAACCATTTCTAGCAACAGAGCAAACGAAATAATGCCAAAATTCAAACCTAACCTCTCTTCCATTTACACAGGAACAGCTTCGACGAGCCTTGCAAAGTAGAACTGAGTAGTGATCAGGCCTCTCTTATTTATTTTCCACCCAACCTTCTTCAATGCCCTCTCTACATCTGCCTCTGCATGTAGATATGCCCTTGTTGCCTTTGAGGGCCCAGGAAACAACTCCCCTACTCTCTTTAATAGATCATAATAAAATGTCTTCGGTGCAAAACTCAAAAGTAGTCGCTTCTCAGCCAATGATGCGAGGTGGGCAATCATTCCATCTGCTTTACTTTGTGGGTAATGTATCAGAACATCTAGACAGACCACTGTGTTATACTTCCCATCTAAACTCTCCAAATCCTTCACTTCAAATTTTGGCACCACAGGCACCACATTTTCGCTTCCTGCTTGAAGCTGCTCTTTTGCCTGCACAAAATTGAAAACCGAGTTAGGTTTCAATAACTTCAGGAACTGATCAATGCAATGTTTTCACATAACTTTATGCCATTCAAGAATCCAAATCATGATCCCAAACTGCCAACTTCACAAAATGGTCACAAATACTTCAGACCGCCATAGTTGTCCCCACTTTCCGACCATGACCATGCATGTGTAAGTGCAACAGCCACCATAGCACAGTCCCCAGACTCGCGACTGTCCTGATCATTCTCCAAGTTGAATGCACCAGAATCAATTCTCTAAAATCCCCATTCTAAAACAACCTAAGAACCCATGAAATCAAAACCCATTCATAGTAAGAAAAACCACAGTTTCATCCACCAAAAATCACCAGCAATTCACTTCCTTCATCCACAAAACCAATCATCATTTCCATCAACAAAAAACACAAAACCCACATTTCCAATTCAAGCAACTTTTCAAAAAACCGTTAAAAACAGTTATTTACTACAGCAACCAACCAAAACAAAAAAAGCAAACAGAACAGAGAACCCACCACCACCCCTGCTTACTCACCTGTTTCTCAGCCTCAGCCACCATAGCAGCAGAAATATCAGTAGCATAAACAACCGCCCCTTCTTTGGCCAAGGGTATGGCCAAACATCCAGTACCACACCCAGCGTCGCAAACACTAACGCCCTCCAACGACCCGTCGTCTTTCAACATCTTCAGCACATTCTCAACAGTCTTTGAATGACCAAGCCTAATATCTTTCTGAACTTTGTTAACATCATCAGTCTCTCCATATATTTTCCTCCACCGTTGAAACCCAGAATTGTTGAAGTACTCCCTCACCACCTCCTTGTCTCCGCCGCCAACCTCCTCCGCCTGGAGGCGCCGCCGCCGGTCCGGGTCTGTTAGTGATATAGCAGCAGCCACTGCCGCCACCGAACCGCCCCCAATGACGGCCAAGGTGGCTCCATCAAGGTCGGCGGCGGTGACAGCCGCGAGAGGCGGAAGCGAGGCGGTGGTGACGGTGGTTCTAGTTGGTTTTGGTTTATGGGAATTTGGAGAGAGTATTCTTTGGTGGTTTAAGGGAATGTGAGAGAATATGGAGGACGTAAATGCCATTTTCTTTATTTTTATTTATGTATTTGTTTTTCCGGTTTTGGGTTTCTTTTTCCTCCTCCGGCCGGCTACTTACGTGGAGATTGGGTTTGGGTCGAAGAGGTGGTTGTGATGATTTTTAATGTTTTGTTATCTTGTGGATAAGAAAAGTTATCATCAACTAGGCTTGATTTGTTTGGGCCCACTTTGAGTCTGGGTGTGTGTGATGTTTGGATCAAGTGGGTTTGATTAGTGGTTCAAAAAGACATGGGTTTAATTAATTAATACCAACATTTATTTTTTTCCCTGTTGAGATGGATTAAGGTAACAGTAAATTATAAATTAGTTCCTTTAGTTTTGAGAAATGAGTAATTAGATATTTTTTCAAAAACTAATTATTTATTTTTTAAACTAATTAATTAGCTTTTCCGTTTCAAAAAGTATTTATTTTTTATTTAAAAAAATTATGAAAATATTAATAAGAAAAAAGTAATTTTTTGAAGTATAATAATATTAAATTAAGGATGATTAATCCAGATTAAAAAATTAAAAAATTATTTTTTAAAATAAAAGAGATTAATTAATTTATCCATTAAAAATAATGATTTAAATGTGATTTTTTTTCCTTTGATGTATGTGGGACACGGGAAAAGGGAAGGTGCATGTTGAAAGAAGAGGAAAGGAATGGTAGATAAACCAATTGGATTGCTAGTTGAAGTAGTAAAAAATTAAAATACTAATGAATAATTTCTTCTCAACCTTATATATGTTTTTGTAAAAATTTTCATACTAGGACATGTATGTTATTATTTTATTTTTTTTGTAATTTATGATTATATGTAAAATTTATTTATCATATTATTTATGAGTTGTGAGTTATTTTGATTTGATATTTATTTAGTTTAGAAGTATTCGAATATAGGTTGTGTTACTTGTTGCTAAAAATAAGAAAATAGAAAATATTGTTATTTTGTTTTATTAGTTATTTTTTGAGATTTTTTTTGTGTGAATCCATATTATAATATTCTTGTAGTTTTAAATTCCATTAGGTTTATATGTGAGCGGTAACTATCCTACATTAAAAAAAAAAAATTAGAGGTTTAAAATATTTAGATACAAAATAAATACATAACCCTAGATGCAAGTTCGTGTGACTCCTAAATGCAAGTTCCTTCCTACAATTTCAAAAATATCATCTACATTAGAGTTAAAAAATTTATTAAAAAATTTGTTTTTTTCCCACAAAGTCATAATAATTCGAAGAACATTTTACATGTGCCTAATGATATTCTTCAATCTATTTATTGATGAGTATTTTATTAGATTTTTGCATAAATTTACTTTTTAAAATTGAATAATTGTCTAAACAATTTCTCTTATTAAAAAAAAATCATACATGCTCCCTAATTGAATTTAGCTGAAATCAAACTCAAAAATCAGCAATATCCTACCATCTACAAATAATTTATCGTAATTATTTTCTAATGATATCGAATTTGGATTCATTTGCTCTAAAAGAAAATTTAGTAGTCGATCAAAAAATCAAACATATTCTGACACTGATTTAGCTTCGAAAATGGTAAATTTAATTAAGAAAATGATAAATTTAGTCTTAATTAATGTAAAAATTGATACAATATTGCTTTACTATAGGTATATTTAAAAAAAAAAAATCTGCAGTATCCTCGTGCCAAAACAGGCTGATTAAAGAATGACCAACCGTTTGTCTTTCAGCATCAGCCCTACCTTCAGCCTATGTTCGTTGTCAACCTCGAACTAACTTTCAAAAGAAAATCTTCACTCACTGTGATTCTGTGGAGAAACCAAGCTAGAAATGACCAAGTCTTTTAGTGCATTAAGTACAAGATAAGCATAACTTCACAAGTTACACTGAAAAGTCAACACCCCAAGCCAAAAACATTGCCCATGTTCAATGCTATGGGAGAGACACAAACCTGCACATTTTCAACACACAACCCCAAAGGAATCATTCACAGATCAACAGCAAAATCTCAAGCTCTGATTTCTATAAAAGATCTGTCCATGTTTAAATATACACACAAGTCCCTTTACGCTATAGCTGGCTAGGTTGCTAATGCTATTAAATTATCTCCTTTATCATTGTTTGAAAGTGACATTTTGTTATTTATTTACCTACTATTCTTCTTTACTGTTAGAAAACAACAAGCACAAGACAATAACATAATTTTGAGCTTTTCTTGGTACTATCTACAATCAAATGCTCGGTTTTGATCATATTTAAGCAAACCCTTTTTGAGATTGTTAGCATCATTGACAATGGAAGTTGTTCCGGCATGTTTTTTGATTGTGTTAGTGAGTTTGTTGTGTGTGGAATCCAAGTACATAAAGTATAATACAAGTTCAGGCATTGTTCCGGGGAAGATTAATGTCCACTTGGTGGCTCATACACATGATGATGTTGGTTGGTTAAAGACTGTTGATCAGTACTATGTGGGGTCTAACAATTCCATTCAGGTCTATTTTCTGTCTTTTTTGCAGATTCAATTTTGGATTTGTTTTATTCGAGTTGTGATCTGTTGGTGTATTGTTATGCAGGGAGCTTGTGTTCAAAATGTGCTGGATTCTATAGTGCCTGCATTGTTGGCTGATAAGAATAGGAAGTTCATATATGCTGAACAGGTCTCTACTTTCTTTTACTTTGTTTTCCAGCTCTTACTAGTAATGCTTCAAAACCTTAAACAAGTATTTGAAACTGAATCAATGCTTCCTTTTACATTAATGAAACTGTTATAAGTTCAGAAAATTTGTGCCTTCGGTTAATTGTTTATAGGAAGCCATGATAAAGAAACAAGAAGAATTCTCTTATTTTTACCTCCTCTCTGGTTTCTGGGCTGCTAAAAAGAGTTGGGTTGTGAAGTTTTCTTTTTGACTTCTAATTTGGGATTCTTGGAAATGCTTTTCCCTGCATAATACAGGCCTTTTTCCAGCGTTGGTGGAGAGATCAGAGTGAGGAAGTACAAAATGTAGTCAAGCAGCTTGTCAGCTCGGGTCAGCTTGAGCTAATGTAGTATATAAAACTCCAAGTTTTATATTTCTTTGTTCTTTTGTTCACAAAATGCAGGATGCATGTAATGATGCATAATTGCATATACATTTATATTGAATCTGAACACTTTGATGCTGCAATTTCTAGAACAACTTCCCTTTTTTAACCTGATTAGTCCAATCTGTCATGGGTTCTCCAATTTTTTTGGTTGCAGAAATGGAGGTATGTGCATGCATGATGAGGCAGCTCCTCATTATATTGACATGATTGATCAAACAACTCAGGGGCATCGATTCATCAAGGAAGAATTTAATGTGACTCCAAGAATTGGTTGGCAAATTGATCCCTTTGGACATTCTGCAGTGCAGGCTTACCTGTTGGGGGCAGAGGTACTGTTTCTCCCAATCCTTGGTGTGAATCTGTGCATTGATTATTAATCTGCAGCCTATTTGTACCTTTGATTAGCAGATGAATACTAGGGCCTTTTTTTTTTGACAAGTTGAGATGTTGGCCTTTTCTATTGGAAGTTAGCTGATCGAAAGAGGCCTTTGGTGTTCTGCATATTCATGCTCTAATCTATTTAACACAAGTTCTGTTGGCACAGGTTGGATTTGACTCCTTTTTCTTTGGAAGGATTGACTATCAAGATAGAGCTAAACGAAAAGGCGATAAGAGTCTCGAGGTTGTCTGGCGAGGCTCCAAAAGCCTTGGTTCATCTGCACAGGTGTGTATTTCTAAGTGTATTACATTGTCTACAATGCAACTTCTCTGGTTTAAATGTTGGCATTGAAGACTATTTTATTAATTCATCAAGTGATTCAGCTTCTGTTTAATCTATTCTCTTGTAGATTTTTGCTGGTGCATTCCCTCAGAATTATGAACCTCCAAGTAACTTGTACTTTGAAGTTAATGACGATTCCCCTATTCTCCAGGTAAATTGTTAGTCAACCACTGAATTAATAGAAGCACATTACTGCAATATGTGAATATTTTTCCCTTTTGTCTTGCAGGATAACCTCGATTTGTTTGACTACAATGTCGCTGAGCGAGTGAATGAGTTCGTATCAGCTGCAATGGATCAAGTAAGATCTATTCTCTTTGCTTGAAAAGTTACACTAGCATATTTCTTAAGACCTCTCATCAGCTTCAACAAACCCATCAAGTTGTTTTCTGTCAGTGCAAGTTGTGGATATTAATTAGAATGTCTTAATGCAGTATCAGTTCTATTGAAAAGTTGCTTCATCTCAGTCCCAAGTTTGCTGAATTTCGGCAAAAACCTAACTGCTTTTTTGTTATTTGGTTTTCTTTAATATTTAGCATTACTCTAGCTTTACAAACTTGGATTTACATACTAGAGAAAGAAATTAAGTTTAAATGTTTAGAGGAAAGAGTTTAAGGCTGCCATACCATATTTAAACTACTGTTTATATTCCGTTTTCCAGGCTAACATAACTCGGACGAATCATGTGATGTGGACTATGGGGACAGATTTCAAGTACCAGTATGCTCACACTTGGTACAAGCAAATGGACAAGTTCATTCATTACGTGAATCAGGTTAGTATTGTTGTAATGTATTGATTGCCTTGAGAGCATACTTTTAAATTGCAGATGGTTGAAAAAACGGTCGCTGTTGTCATCACAGATTATGGCTTATTATAACACTAAAATATCGGTAACGGCATGCTCCAAAACTGGTACATAACGGCCGCTATATAACGTAATGGCCGTTATTTAAAACTATGATTGAGAGGTTTTGAAAGGAATAGATGCTGCATTTCATTGAAAAATGAGTTTACTCTTATTGTACTGGTTCTTGATATGGAACATGCATAGAACTTATGTCATTGTGCTAGAGACAGAGGATTGAAAGTCAGCATCCTGTTGGTTGAAAGGCTTTTCTGCTGATATCCTGTTCTACTTCCTTTTTTCAGTTTCCTCTGATGTTTTGATTTAAGTTCCCGAAGATCTTTTGCATTTTATATAATTGGAATCTTGATATCTTTGTACTTTCCATAATTTGGGATGCTAATGAAAGTACTGGATTGGAATGTTTGCAGGATGGGCGTGTCAATGCCCTATACTCAACCCCATCAATATACACCGATTCAAAATATGCAACAAATGAGTCCTGGCTGCTTAAGACTGACGATTTCTTTCCGTAAGTACAAATTTAGAAGATCAAATTATTAACATATAACTGCTCCTCTCTAGGCTTTAGCCCATAGTTTAAATCACGAACGGTTGAAAAACGATTGCGTTCGCTATAGCTGATCGTAGCTTAATATAATGCTAAAATAATAATAACGAGATGTCCCGAAAATGTTACATAACGACCGTTATATAACGTAACGGCTGTTATTTAAAACTATGCTTTAGCCTGTAATCATACTGATGGTTGAGTACTGCATATCAGATATGCAGACATTGTAAATGCTTATTGGACTGGATTTTTTACGAGTAGGCCAGCCCTCAAAGGCTATGTTAGAACGATGAGCGCCTACTATTTGGTAAGTTCCTGTGATTAAATCTAGGAAATTCTTTGTGTTAAGTGATGCTCATTGGCACCAATATAAACAGGCAGCAAGGCAATTGGAGTTTTTCAAGGGAAGGAGTAAAGCAAAACCCAACACAGATTCTCTGGCTGATGCTTTAGCGCTTGCACAACATCATGATGCAGTTAGTGGCACATCGAAGCAGCACGTCGCTAATGATTATGCCAAACGGCTTGCAATAGGATACACGGAGGTTTATCTTAGATTCTTCACTATTTTCTAAGTTGATTTTTCCATTATGCTTAAACATGCTTCAAATCTGAGAATGTTTCTCGCAGGCTGAGGAGGTAGTTGGAGCATCACTTTCCTGTATTGCAGATCAGTCAACATCAAAAGGTGGTTGCATGAGTCCAGCGAACAAGTTCCAACAGGTAAATGCTATTTGTGCTTTATACTTTATCAGTGGACTGTTTTTACACTGTTAGAAATCTGATAAGAAATGATACTTCTACTAAATAAAGTTTCTACTTTCAGAAAAAAAGAAATCAATAATAGGTAGACTATTGTGTTCTTTCATTTAGAAGGGGGAAAAAAAGATTAGAGTTCATTAAACATTTTCTCAAAACATTGTTGATTTTAAAACTTTGACTTGAATGATTTATTCATTTGATAAATTAAATTGCTGATTATTCTTCCTTTGTCCTTTCTTTCATTCTCACAGTGTCCCCTTCTGAATATAAGTTACTGCCCTCCATCAGAAGTTGACCTCTCTGGTGGAAAAAGCCTGGTAATGGAAGTGTTAAATGGAATATCGTCTCTTGTACTTTTATTTTATGGATCGAATTGAAAAAAATGCAACGTTTTTCCTTGATGTTTATTCTCTTTTCTAGGTGGTGGTTATATACAATTCTCTGGGATGGAAAAGAGAGGATATTATAAGAATTCCTGTGAGTGCTTTTATATCGCTCAATCCTGTGATCTTTTACTTGCGCCTAAAAGTTTGAAGATACAGCATGTGAACACATTACTTTCTGGTAAACATCATGCGAAATTGATTGCTTTCTGTAAACAGGAAGAGACATTGCGTATATTAAAGAACCATAAGCTGATACGTGAAGCCCCAGAATATAATTTATATTAGTCTCTAACGGCGTAAACTTGAGTAAAAACATGTTACACACCTGCACACAAAACATACTCATATGTGTACATGCCTGTGTTTTTATCAAGCTTCATTATCTTTCTCAAGGTGATATGTAGACACCAATGCTTCTGGGTGAAAGATGGCTTACTAATTTTGAGATCTCTGAATGCTCTATGACCTCCAGCCTGCCTAAGTTGATGCAGGTAATTAATGAGAAAGTCTCTGTTAAGGATGCTGGGGGAAAAGAAATTGAATCACAGCTTTTGCCTCTGCTGAATGCCTCTTTAGGCGTAAGAAACTACTATTCAAAGGCGTATTTGGGTATGGCCTCAAATGTAATCCCCAAGTACTGGCTTGCATTTTCAGCATCTGTACCACCTCTTGGTTTCAACACCTATATTATTTCCAGTTCTAGCTCAACTGCCAACCGAGCAGGTAAGCATGTTGATCGTTGTATTTGAAATATCCATCAAAAGAAGAAGAATCACCAGGTTAACTTCTCCAGTAAATTTGACATAGAATGTTTTTTTTTCCTTTTTTTCCCACTGTGTGACTGCAGCTTCTACTTCAAGGCAAGTATATGACACAAAAGCGATTCAAAATGATAAAGTTAGGATAGGACCAGGAAACTTGAAATTGATCTATTCCGGAAAAGGAAAACTTACTCAGTATATCAACAGCAGAAGCTCGGTATGTAATATTGGTTGAAACTTCAAGGTTTTTCATGGTCATTATTAGAATGTTTCTCTCCTTTTAGTTTCTTAGTCCCAATCTGCACGTCTCGACGAGGTGACTAAATGAAACGATCGACTTGGAAATGCTAAAGTGATAGTTGCTTTTAAATTGGATAATTTTAGTTCACTTCTAAGTTGTTTGAGTCTAAATTGAAGGTCAAGGCATCTGTGGAACAATCATATAGCTATTATGCTGGAGATGATGGAAGCAAGGATGAACAGGTATTTCCCTCCATCAAAACCTTTACTATGCCTTTGTTCTCACCGTGTCAATGGCTTGTGAATTATTTATTATACGTAGATCCTATTAAAAATATTGTTTTTAACTTAACTTGCTGAAGGCCTCTGGAGCATACATCTTTCGACCAAATGGCACATATTCTGTCAACTCCGAAGGACAGGTGTGACAGAATCTTCTATAGTACTTGACTTATGAATAACTTATGTTCACTGTCAACAAAAAAATAAGGATTTACGAATATTTCAGGATGTTTTTACTGTTTTGCGGGGACCTTTATTGGATGAAGTGCATCAGAGGATCAGCTCGTGGATATATCAGGTAGTATTAATTAGCTGGAATATCTCATCACATGAACTTCGGAATTGGTAGTGATACTAATACAACTAGTTTGCTTTTGTGACCATTTCCTATCAATGTTGTAAATCTGAAAATACTAAAGTGTAGCCTTTGAGAGATTATATTGCCTGTCCAATCTGTAACTGACCTTTTGAGTTCATAAACAGATAACCAGAGTATACAAGGGAAAGGAGCATGCTGAAGTTGAGTTCACTGTAAGTCTGTTAAATTTGTTCAAATGAATCCTTATATCCACCTTAAGCAGCGTCCTTGAAAAACCAATGGTTCATGTGGGAGCTGTTTTAACCAATAATATCTTCTGTTTCAGGTTGGACCAATACCGATTGACGATGGAATCGGCAAAGAGGTTGTAACAAAGATCTCAACAATGGTGAAAAACAACAAAAAGTTTTATACAGATTCTAGTGGGCGTGATTTCATAGAAAGGGTACATAATACATTCCTTCCTTATTTTGGTTCGTGCCGCTTGAAATGTCTCTTGGGTTATGTTTGTAACTTAGATTAAATGTTTCCTTTTTGCAGATTCGAGACTACAGAAAAGACTGGGAGCTGCAAGTGAACCAACCTATTGCAGGAAATTATTATCCAGTATGTTTCCTTAACAATATAATCAATGGGATTAATTGTGAAAAATTGTTTTCCCTATAAAAAAATCTATGTAAACCATTCAATATTTTCACCACCAAATATCTCCTTATCTGGATTAAGTGGGCTTCCATGCCTCCAAGACTTGAAAGAAAGGATGTGACTAAAATTGGTATTAGCCTAGTAATTTCTGGATGATGAAAATGTGCATGACTAATTATCCAAGCATAAAGTGCACTGTGCAAGAAAACTAGTATAACGTTATGTCAGCTTCCTTCTAATATCTGAACAGTTCAAAAATCTATATTTATACATCAACTTGAAAATTATATGTGCACGCTCATGCATTCATGTGTAGTTTCCTCTTTCTCTTCAGGCATCAAATTACTATGTTTTTTTTCTCCGTTCAGATTAATCTTGGGCTTTATATGCAAGACAACAGTTCAGAGTTCTCCATTTTAGTGGATCGATCTGTGGGGGGGTCAAGTATTGTGGACGGGCAGTTGGAACTAATGCTCCACAGGTCTCGTCTCCACTTTCTCTTGATTATGCTTCATGTTTCTTTCCATAATGTTATCAATACTTATATATATTACTGTAAAAGCATATTTAGTTTAGTTTTTGTTCCTACAGGAGGTTACTTTTTGATGATGGCAGAGGTGTTGGAGAGGCACTAAATGAAACAGTCTGTGTTCTTGAAGATTGCAGAGGATTGACCGTATGCACATACTAACTTGCCATAGTTTTTAGATTTCATAGAAACCATTCATTTCTTTACTTGATAATCATGCATTTTACAGATTGTAGGAAAGTACTTCCTAAGAATAGATCCGTTAGGGGAGGGTGCCAAGTGGCGTCGATCATATGGTCAAGAGATATATTCTCCCTTGCTCTTAGCCTTCACAGACCAGGTGAATAAAGACGATGCAGCATTATTTTTGCCATTAAAGTCAGTCTGTAACTCACAGATGTATCATTCTCATGTTTCAGAATGGAGATGGTTGGACTAACTCTCATGTAGCAACCTTTTCCGCAATGGACCTCTCTTATGCTCTACCTGACAATGTTGCGATAATAACCCTCCAGGTGCATATCTCTCCTGCCCTTTCTAGATAAGACAAGACAAGCGGTAAGGACAGTTAGGGTTTTAAATAGTGGACGGTGGAAAAAACCATCACAGTCATCATTGTGGATCGCGGTTCACTATAATACTAAAATAACAGTAACGGGATGCTCTGAAACCGTTACATAACAACGTTTTTTAAAACTATCTTAGGGCCTCTCTTGCTATTTTCAAGAACAGTTATATTTCTCCGGACGAGAGAGTATTTGTTTGGCTGACTACAACAGAATAGTCTTCTCTGTTTAAAAACTGTTTGAAAGAAAATCACCTGAGAACGATATGAAACGAGGAAACTCTATGAAAGGGATTTTCAACTAACAGCTTTATCAACAGAATTTGTTTTCGTTTAAGAAACAAGAACAAAAGGCAGAAAGCAGTAAACTAAACAGGTCCATAGTCTTCTATTAGATGGATCACCAAACTAGTTTACTTTGATTTGTCGAACTTTGAACTGTCTAATGGTAACTGATATTGGAAAGTTACTTCGATTTTTGCCCTATATTATACTTTGAAGGTGCGCAAATAGAAATATCATATATTCCTTCTTGAGTTAAAATTGTTTTACCTTTTCTTTTACTCTGCAGGAGCTGGATGATGGAAAAGTTCTCCTTCGGTTAGCACACTTATATGAGGTATGCAGACTGTCTTTTCATACTTCTAGGAAATGTAGGAAAACATCTTTAATATTTCGAGCAAACTGTCTTCTTACACTGTAACCGTTGACATTTGGTTCAAATGATTTTGCCAGTGGAATAATTTTACTAATGTTTCTTAGGATATTTGAGAAAAATTCCCTTTTTCATACTTTTTTATGAAATTATCTTTCAACTTAAAAGTCAGTGTTCTGATGAGGAAGTCATTCCCGTCTTCTTTTCTTCATCAATTCGGCGTTGTATTCTTTAATCTTTGTTTCTTTTGATGCTTCAAGGTTGGGGAGGACAAGGATCTGTCAGTTATGGCAAGTGTAGAACTGAAAAAGGTGTTCCCGAATAAGAAGGTAGAAGAATGAGTAAATTTGTCTTGCTTGTCAGTAAAGAAACACTTGATTTATTTCTTTTTTTTCATAATTTTTAAAATTTTCTAATGATTATCAGATTAACAAAATAATCGAGACCAGTTTATCTGCCAATCAAGAAAGAGTAGAAATGGAGAAGAAGAGGCTAGTCTGGAAAGTAGAAGGCTCTTCAGGGGAAGAAGCTAAGGCAGTGAGGGGAGGACCTGTGGATCCAACAGCACAAGTTGTTGAACTAGCCCCTATGGAAATTCGCACCTTCCTTATCAACTTTGATTAAAATTGATAACTAGAGGGCCAGAAACACTTTCCTATTGCGCAAGAAAACTTCTTGCAATTGGATCATGTTCTTTGACCAAATTTCTGGGCTCTGAAAGTCATTTTGGTCCCTATAGTTGATATCAAATGTATGTGAGTTCTCAAAACGTAGGTGTAGTTCAGGGTTCTCATGTGCAGCTTCTCAAATAAAATTTAGCCAACTGATATATTAATAAAGTTTAGCCATATTTCATATTCTACTCTTGCAAGTTTCTCTCTTCTGATGACATCTGAAGTCAAGGAAAGTCCATTTTCTAATCATCTTGCAAATTGTTCCATCATCCGAAAAAATAAAACCTGGCCTGACTATAATTAAATCCCACAGATGAAAATAATTAAAAAAATGTTCAAAAACATTCCTGCACTTATAGATTCTTTGGTGATTGGAAGTCACATCTTCATTGCAGGCCTTCATAACGAGAAAGTGACATGTCGTTAATGCTAAACATGCATGAAGCCCGGCAATAACCATAGCTCCTGTTCTTGTATGGCAAGTAATTAAGAACAAATGATTAGCACTTTACCTACCTTTTTCCTTTTTAAAATTCTAACACTTCAACTACCTCTCGTTAAAAAACAAGAACAAGAGAACAAATGTTCTTCTTCTTTAATACTAACGCTTGTCACTTGTATATACCCTCCTGCATAATCAAAACTCCTTTTCGAACTTAGTACCATCAAAGCAAGTGACACCCTCATGGAATTTCCAGCATGTTTCTTGATTCTGCTTTTACTTTTGATTTCATGTGTAGAATCAAAGTACGTGGAACACAACATCTAAAATAGTTCCTGGCAAGCTTAACGTCCATTTGGTGCCTCACACACATGATGATGTTGGCTGGTTGAAGGCAGTTGACCAGTACTATGTTGGTTCTAATAACTCAATTCAGGTCTCTTTCTCTTCTCAAATCCTGGTTTGTATCCTTTGCTATTATATTGAGTCATTTAATCTTTTTCTCTCTTTCTTTCTTTCTTTATGTTATCATGTAGAGCTTGTGTTAGAAATGTTTTGGATTCTGATGAGAACTGGAAGTTCATATATGTGGAAAAGGTCCTTTCTGTCACTTTTAATAGCTTAATAACACTGCTTCTGTTTCAATTTCGATTGTAAATTCTTCATTTGCTTTTTTTTTTTTTTCCAATTACGATGCAGGCGTTTTTCAAGCGTTGGTGGAGAGACCAAGGTGAGAAAACTCAAGCCATAGTCAGGGAACTTGTTAACTCCGGTCAACTTGAGTTCGTGTAGGTTTATATATAGTACAAGACCTCAATTTCTTACCGAGTATGTTTAACTTTTTGTAATTCTCATTTGGTTTAATGGGAATTAATTTTGTTATGGGTGCAGAAATGGGGTTATGTGTATGCATGATGAGGCCTCCCCACATTACATTGACATGATTGATCAGACAACCCTAGGTCATCTGTTTGTGAAAAAAGAATTTAATGTTACTCCAGGAATTGGTTGGCAAATTGATCCTTTTGGACATTCTGAAGTTCAGGCTTACCTGTTAGGAGCAGAGGTTTGCATGAGATCTCTATAAGATTTGTTTTGTAATTCTGTCACTGATTAGTCACTTTATTTGTGCTAGTCTTCTATTAAATACAAATCTTTTTTATTGGATTAGGTTGGATTTGACTCTCTTTTTTTCAGTCGAATCGACTACCAAGATAGAGCTAAAAGAAAAAATGATCAGAGCCTTGAGTTTATCTGGCAGGGACCTAAGAGTCTTGCTTCATCAGCCCAGGTGAGAACCCAAATTGTTGAACATTTCCACATATAATTATATTGAATTGGTTCTAATGTTAATAATATAAAGATGGATATGTTCTGTTTATTGATTAATCATTGATTTAATTTTTAATAGATATTTTCTGGAGCATTTCCTGAGAATTATGCACCTCTGAAAAATTTCGATTATGAAGTTAACAGCGATTCTCCTATTGGTCAGGTAACTTCCAGGTCAAGCATTGATGACAGAATGCTTGACTGACAGGATAGAAATTTATTCATTGTATGATTTAATGTTTTTTTTAATTATTTTTCCTCCTGACTTACAGGATGACATTGACTTGTTTGACTACAATGTCTCTGATCGTGTCAACGAGTTTGTATCTGCTGCACTTTCACAAGTGAGGTCTCTCTTCCTCTCATTTCTCTCCTTCAGCTTCAGCTTCTACTTGCTGTCAGATTGCTTCTGTCGGCAGTATTAGAAATTCTGTTATCTCAATAGCCAATTTTGCTAAAAGCCACTGCAATGTAAAGCTTATGCATCTTAATTAAGGTCCTGATAATTACAAAAAAATAAAAATAAAAATAAATAAAAAATGGAGGTTTAATATACATGAGGACTGCTTCTTTTGAGATGTTAAGATCTTTTCCTTTCACATTATTCCGGTATTAGAAATTGAATATGATTTGCATGCTCAAGCAAAAAAGTTGAGAAAGATGTATTTACAATAGTGATTTCAAGCCTGTTAATGCATGTTAAAATTCTATTTTCTGTTTTTCCAGGCTAACGTAACTCGTACGAATCATATCATGTGGACAATGGGGGAGGACTTCAAGTATCAGTATGCTCACACATGGTTCCTGCAGATGGATAAGTTAATCCACTACGTTAATCAAGTGAGTTTTCTCTGGAATTATTGTTTCTTATCAATGAAAGACATTTCAATTGACCATGCCATTCTCAGATAACTATTACATGCCCTTTTACATTTTGATGTCCTGTACTGTTTTAGGTTAGATTATTGGTGTTTCCACAAAATATAACTCGTAGGATGTGTTAAATTGATAAGGAAATGCTGCCTAATAAAACTTATCCGATCAATGTTTGTTTGAATAGATAAGAGGATTATTAATGATAGATCCTGATTTCTGAATAATCCTACCAACAATAAGTACTGGTTTGATCTGTCTACTATTCTCTTAATAGTTGCTTGACTTTTTGTAAGTTTAATTGCTTCGCATTGCAGGCAGAGGAGGTTGTTGGAGCATCACTTGCTCGCATGGCTGAGCCAAGAATAGCATCTGACAGCATGAAACCAATGACTAAATTTCAACAGGCAAGTAAAGAATGATCTGTATGCTTCTTTGATGACCATGTTCAGATTTTATCTAGAATTTCGCTAACTATCATCATGCTTCTTATTTATCATGCAGCTTTTAGTTTTTATCTGTTCTCTTCCTTTCATCTTTCAGTGTCCCCTTATGAACATAAGTTGCTGCCCTGCATCATAAGTTGATCTTTCAAATGGAAAAAAACCTGGTAAGGAGATTAAACAGTGTTTTGTCTCTACTAAGGATTGCCTATGAGAATTGTGTCTTTTGTCTACTTGATATGAATTATCTGTTGATTCATCCTGTTCTATAGGCTGTAGTTGTCTACAATTCTCTGGGATGGAAAAGAGAGCATGTCATAAGAATTCCTGTAAGTGTATTATTCCCCTCAATGCTGTGATCTTTAGCCTTTGCATGATGTTTGAAAGGCATCATTGAATTTCTTGGTTTCAATTTTCATTAAATACTTGCAAATTGAAATTCTCAGCTTTGTCTATGCTTAAAATGGAGACGCACACATGCACATGTTAGTGAACCATAATACCCTTTTTGAAGGAAACGAGTAGTCGCCAATGTGTGGTAGGTAAAGTTTAAGTTATTTATGTTATTACTTTCCTGTAATTACTTGGCTTACTTCAGGTTATTACAATATCATTGTCAAGGATTCTGAAGGACAAGAAATCGAGTCTCAGCTTTTACCCCTACTAGATGCCTCTTTAGCCATAAGAAACTACTATTCTGTGGCATATTTTGGTGGATCACCAGGTCTGAGTCTGACCAACCCCTAAGTACTGGCTTGCATTTTCAGCATCTGTCTCTCCTCTTGGATTTAGCACTTACATTATCTCAAGTGCCAAAAGGGAAGGTTAGCCATAAGATTTTGGTATTGTTTTTTTTTAAAAAAAAAAATTTTCTGAATCCACTTTATGCTGTACCGAGAGTCTGACATGGATATGCATGTTTTTTTTACCCGCTTTGCGATTGCAGCTGTTATTTCAGAGAAGCAAACAATTTACCCATCAGAACGGAATCAAAACGAGACAATAGAAATAGGTCCAGGAAACTTGAAGCTAATATATTCTGGAAGTGAAGGAAAACTTGCTCATTATGTTAATGGCAGAAGCTCGGTATGCTCTTTCGTTCAGGCTTCAATGTCTTGTGCTTTACTAATACTGTGTACTGTTACTTCGTGAAGAAAAAAAAATTCATGCTCCTAGGTCCTAAAAGTAAATGCTTCTGTGTCTAAAATAGTTGTAGTTTCACAGGTAAAGAATCCTTTCTGTAATAGCATTCTACATCTTTCATTTATTTGATCATCTCAACTACCACTTGTTGAAGGCATCTGGAGCATACATCTTTCATCCGAATGGAACATATTTCCTCAAGTCTGAAGCGCAGGTACACATTGTTCTCGACTACTGATCAACTTATATTTAGTTGCAGCAGCCAGTAAGTGATTTAAAAGTCAGAAATTTTCAGGTTCCGTTAACTTTTTCACGAGGATCGTTGTTGGATGAAGTACATCAGAAGATCAATTCATGGATATATCAGGTGGTCTATTATCTCATCGAATAAGCACTGACATATGTTATGCTTTTACTGTGAAATATATCTGAGAGTTATCGCAAAAAAGGTTTATTCTTAATAGTGTCTGTAACTATGCTTGCCAGGCATAAACAGATCACTAGAGTCTACAAGGAAAATGGCCATGTTGAAGTTGAGTTCATTGTGAGTCTGTTGCACTTGTCCCTGAATAGTTCCATAATCTTGACTTTGTTCAAGTGCTAAACATTTTGTGCCGAAGCAGTTTTCCATTAAGAATTTTGTCAATTTCAGGTGGGACCAATACCTGTTGATGATGGAATTGGCAAAGATATTGTGACCAAGGTCTCAACAACGATGAAAAGCAACAGAACGTTTTAAACTGATTCAAATGGACGTGATTTCATTGAAAGGGTAAGTTGTGGAAGTGCTTTTTGTGGCATTTAATTTGCTGTGGGAAGATTCATAAGTAGCTTTCCTGAACATCTGCCATGTTTCTAGAAATGTAGCATCTTCTCTGTGCCACTAAACAGGATAAGCAAAACCATTCTTCCGCAGATTTGAGATTATAGAAAAGACTGGGACCTGGAATTGCATCAACCTGTTGCCGGAAATTACTACCTAGTATGTTCACTTTATGGTTGGAACTCATTATTTTCTCTTAGTCTCAAAAACTATATCCCTAGTGTGTGACAGTGACTGCTTCTATTAGTAGACTGACTCAAATATCAATTTACATGAAGTATTCTGCCTTCAAATGTAGGTCCTTATAAATGATTTGAAAAACTGAGATACTATTGTCTGCAAATTGACGTTTAAGTATTTACATGAAAAAGAAATCTTCTTCTTGTTTATGCTTGTCACTGTAAATTTCAAAATACTTAAAACGACTAGAATGATGGCTGATGTGTAACCATTTATGCATCTAATTCGAAAGAGACAGAGATATAATTCATTGGTGTTTATAAACATCGCATTGCTAAGTATGTCCAATCTCCATTCAGCTTAATCTCGGAATTTACTTGGAAGATAACAATTCAGAGCTGTCCATCTTAGTAGATAGAGCTATGGGGGGTACCAGTATTGCTGACGGGCAATTGGAATTGATGCTCCACAGGTTATTTCTTTACTTTCTATAGCTTCTCTTTCTCATTTACTCTTTTGCAAAGATCAGATGGAACAGAAATTGGAATTGATATTGATTGTCTTTTTGTAATAGGAGATTGCTTCATGATGATTCTAGAGGCGTTGCAGAGGCACTGAATGAAACAACTTGTGCTCTTGACGAATGTACTGGACTGACTGTAAGCACGTACTACCAACGTTGATTTCAGTTTTCACTGCAACAATTTTCCGCAACCATTTATGTGGTAATCTTACCTTTCACAGATCCTGGGAAAGTATTATCTCAGAATAGATCCTTTAGGAGAAGGTGGCAAGTGGCGTCGATCATATAGTCAGGAGATATATTCTCCATTCGTCTTGGCCTTCGAAGAGCTGCAGGTGAAAGAAAGTTATCGATATATTCTCGTTTCTATAGAGGTTAGTCTATAACCCAGACAGATATGTTCATCATTGTGCAGGATGGAGAGGCTTGGACAAATTCTCATGTGGCAACTTTTTCTGGGATGGATCCCTCCTATGTTTTACCTGACAATGTTGCAATTCTAACCCTCCAGGTGTGCATCTCAAGCCTTGGCAACGATTTATGGATTTCAATGTTTGAGCTAATTTTCCTGAATTCTACACGAGCTGGATGATGGAAAAGTTCTCCTTCGCTTGGATCATTTATACGAGGTTTCCACAGTTCCTTTCTTTCAAATTTTCATATAAAATTTATCTCTTCAATGTTATACCAACCTTGATGTCTTGTCTGAGCCTCAAAAAGCTTCAGTGGGTTACTGATGAAACTTATTATTACCAACACAAAGAGCCTAGAATGACCTCCAAAATCATATTATGGATTTGTTAAAGAATGTTTTTGAGAGCACCACTAGTAGTTTTGGAATCCTGGGGCAGCTTTTGTGTTCGGTGGCAACCCGATCATATATATTGATAATTCACGTCCAAAGTTTTCCCATTTTAGTCACTTTATTGCTCCAGCCTCGTTCTCTAAATTTTCATTTCAAATGCAAGATTGGAGAGGATAAGGATCTATCGGTTATGGCAAGCGTGGAGCTGATAAAGGTGTTCCAAGCTAAGAAGGTAAAAGCAACTTGAAGATGCATGAAGATATCGATGCATTCGTATAAGCAATTAGTTGTTTAACGATGTTGTGTTCAACTTTCAGATAAACAAGATAGCAGAAACGAGCTTATCTTCTAATCAAGAAAGAGCTAAAATGGAAAAGAAAAGGGTAGTCTGGGAAGTAGAAGGCTCTTCTGCACAAGAACCGAAGGTTGTTAGAGGAGGACCAGTTGATCCTACTACCTTGGTTATTGAACTTGCTCCAATGGAAATCAGTACCTTCATTGTCGAATTTGATAGTAACTGGTCAACTAGTTGGAGGTAAGGAAAAAAACATTATCGGTTTGTAACAAATTTCAAGAACATATCCATCCATTGTTGTTTTGTCCTATGTAGATGAGAATCTTGCAAGTGGATTGAACTCAAGTTCATTGGTGTTAAATCATTACTTCTACCATTTTGTTGTAATTAGAAAAGCACTTGTGATTGATGGCTCAAGTCTATTCTTCATTTAAGGCTGATATTTCAATAAAATTTAACTTCTTCATATTTTTCATTGTGATCCACTAAGGGCAGAAACATTTTCTTATGGTGGAAGAACCAGTACTACCTGTAGTTATTGGGTTGATCATGCTAATTGACTAAAGTTTCGGAATGCCGAATGGGATTTTTGGTTCATGGTAGTTAGACATCATAGGCTTGTAATTTTGGTGGGTTACTATTGAGCTTTCTCAAACTCAAAAACCATATCAAGAAGTGAGGTTTTTCTTCACACTTGTCATCGAATACTCAATCCCTTTTACAAACAATGTGAAATAACTCAACAATCTCCCTTTTCACACATCGAACTCTAAGTTAGTTATTTTTCATCAACTTATATGATGATAATATATAAAAAAATGTTTACTTGATCTATGATATCAATGTTGAGTGCTATTAGACCTTTTTAATTCGAAAAACTAGTTTAATGAGTGAAGTTTTTCCTCATACCTATAACCAATCAACCCAACTCATTCCATAACAAATGTGGAATAACTCAATATTTTTGTAGATGTAAGTTTGATTACGATTGTCCGGTGTATTAGTCGAGTTAATTTCATTAATTAAAGCACTAAATACGGAAAACTGGATTACAAAAGTAGCAAATATTCTAGTAAGGGAATAGAGGAATGGAGACAAATAGGTTTTATATAGTATTAGTTTTCTTATTTATAGTAATCTTTGTTCGATATTTTCTTTTTCGAGAAAGAAAATTCTTTATTTATTTTATTAATAAAGGGTTGTTTTTTTTTTTTTTTAAAGAGTTAAAAACATAAGAGAATACATATATTAGTATCAAGCCAAAGAGCACAAAATAGAATTTTAAACGTAAAATTCTCACACCATAAAGCCTTGACAATATGTTTTCTTTTTTTGCATATTAATTTATTTTTATGTGATAAGAAGGGAGAAAAGGATGTTTGAAAATTTACACTACTCATTTTTCTTTTTTTTATCATAACTTTGAGATATATTAATGATCATTTTGAAATGTGTTGCGATCAATAGTTTAAGTTCTTTGACTTCCACTATAGGTGGTTAGTCTTGTTACTTGCAAGGGTAGTATGGATAATAAACATGTATTAAATGGGTAAGGTTAATTGTTAAGTTGTTAGCAAGCCACTCGTGTGTCTAACATTCATAACTACCTTGCATAGCTATTAATTTGTTATTTCCATTCTTAACATTAGTTAGTTAGTTGTTTCGTTTATATAGCTAGAGAAATCATAGGAAATGGCATGTATGAAGATTGATCTTTCTATTAAAATTCAATAGATTAACATTATCTCTCTCTTTAGTTCTTTCTTTTCTTTTATGTTCCTCAAATTATAGGGTTCTTGTTAAGGAATCCATTGTTGGATCTTAATAATTGGTATTAGAGCTTGACTACCGTGAATAATTTAACACTCAATCATGGTGGATAATGAAAATATTCAAGCTTTGGAGGAACATAGTAGGAAACACGACGAACAACTCCAAGGTTTGTGGCAAAAACTTTAAGAAAACATAGAAGCTATCAATAAACAAATGGAGGAGCAAACACGACAAACACAGTTTTAATTTGAAGCTTTAATGGAGATAATCAAGTCAATCTTGGTGGAGAAAGGCACAGGAAAAGAACAAGGATCCTCTTTAAGTTCCTCTCAAAGAGTGAACCATGTAAATAAACTAGTACACCTAAGGTATCATGGTGAGTCAATTCTTTCACTTGAATTCTTCTATGCCTAGGATATATTTACAAATGTTTAGTGGAAATAAGATGAATTAGGTGCACAAAGTGAAGTGAGAGTAGAAGGAAAGGAAAAGGTGAAATTTATTGAGGACGAGGAAGAAGGTAAGGAAAAAGAGGAAAGTGAAGAGGTTCCTCGAAAAAAGGTAGGAAAAAGGAAACTAAATTGAGGAATAAGGAGATGGAGAGTAAGGAAGGGAAGGAGAATGGTTGTGATGTGGAAGAGAATGAAGGTCTATTAAAGAGGAGGCTGAGAAGAATTGATAAAAAAGTTAAACTATGTTGAGCTCGATGTTACACTAGATGAGGTTGTGCTTTGGGAGAAACATAGGAAGATGAGAAAAAAGAACAAAGTCTCTAAGAGTCATGGATTGGGAAGTGAGGAAAACAATCAAGTGATGTTGATAAAGATTATTAGAAGCAAAGTATGGTTTGTATCCTTTATTATATCTTTAAACATCAAGTTAGATCATCATTATTACATAACATATGAAAGTTAACTTATAATGGAAGGGAGTTGCCTTGGAAAAAGGATGCCATTAAAAGTGAAGGAAAATGGTAATCCAAAAGGAATTCAATTAACTATTATTCTTAGTTTACAAATTAGTGATGGTGCGGGACTGATGTGTGTTATGGACAATGGGAAGTTAAAGGTTAATGGTGTAAATTGGATTATGAATTAGGTTGTATTGCATCCGGTGGCTTTATCTTCAATTCCTAAGGTAGATTTGTAATTTGTAGAGGAGAAATGTAGAAGGTTTGGTAATAGGAAATAGATGGTGGAGGAGTTCAATAAACTTAACCAAGATTAACCAAGAAAAAGAAGTGTAACAATATGTAGAGAAGTTTGAAGAGCTTAAGTCTTTAATGATTACAAGTACTCTTAATAGTATGTCACTTGGTGATTTGAATCTAAAGAAGACCGATGAGGATCTTCATAATCGATATCTTGCTTTTTTATGGTAGGGAGACAATACAAAGGCTCTTTGTATCTAATGTTCTTGCTTTTGGCATGCAAGGACTTAGTGTTGAGATTGTTAAAAACCTTGTTCTTGTGGTGTCAAGTCAATTACATTGCATGATGAAGGGGTCATGAAGTCGTGGGATTTGTCCGGTAATTTTGTTTTCTAAAAAAATGATGTTGGTAAGAACGAGCCCTTGCTTCCATTTAGAAGTTATAAGAACTCAATATGCAGTGTTCGTTTCTACTTTAACTTCGGAATTGATAAAAGAACATCTTTCCAAGTTTTAGGTCGTTATGTTTACTAATGTCACTCTTGAGAAAGCCATTGAGTTGAATGACTATTGCCATTATCATAAGCCTCATATCTCTTTCATGAAGGTTGAAGTAGAAGGCCTTTTTGGTTTCATTTTTTATGACTTTGGGCCCGAATTTACTATCTTTGATGTTGATGGAGAGGAACCATACACTCGGTTTTATTGCATCCATTAGAAATGACAACCTTGCATTAGTTTCATGCATTAATGATGAAAGGCTTAAGTTTCAAGATGAGGATCTTTTTATTTTCTATAAAGTTAAAGAAATGACAGAACTAAATGATGAAAAACCATGAAAGGTTAAAAAAGCCAATTTTATGAGAAAGGTGGAATTGTAATACGGATGGAAGAGTCGAAGGTGTTGAACTTTAATGCATTGGAGGAAGTAATTAAAGATCTTAGCAATTTTTTTTTTACCGATTTCTCAAAGTTTGATCACCTACTTCTTCTACACTTGGAATTTCAAACATTAGGTAAGTTTGTGGTTAAAATGGGTCACTTCCCTATTCGTTGGTTTAAAAGAAGATGCTAAGAAGCTTGTATCTCTAGTTGGTCCCATAAATGAAAACTCGGGAGATGTAAGAGTGGAGGACATTAATCCAAAACTTCTATGGCACTTTCCTTTTAGTGCCAAGGCTATACTGAATTCTATGGATGTTATGATTGATGGTATAATGGGGCAAGAGGTTGTCAAAGCATGTTCTATTTTTGGATCCAAGATTTAGAAGAAAGCTGGAGGATGCTTTGAAAGTATTATTGGAGAAGCATACGAATCCTAATGCCAAAACGAGAAGATGGTGTATCCGTATTATTATCGGTTGTAACATCTAGTTCATTAGCATACCTAGAGTTGTTGGTTCGGGATGGTATTAATGTGAATGTTACTCGCTGTAGAGCAACTCCACTACATATTAATGTTGATGTTGGGAGATCATTAAGGAATTGAAACAATAATTTCTAGATTTTAAATTTGATCTTTGAGGATAAGGATTTTTTAAGACGGGGTATTATTATGATCAATAATCTATGTTCATGGACTTCCATTGTATGTGGTTAGTGGTGTAACTTGTAAATATATTAGCGTTAATAAACATGTGTTAAATGGGTAAGGTTAGTCGTTAAGTAAGTTGTTAGCAAGCCACACATATGTCTAACATTCATAACTACCTTGCATAGTTGTTAGTTTGTTATTTTCGGTATTAACATTAGTTAATTAATTGTTTCGTTTATATAACCGTAGAAATCATAAAAGAGGGCATGCATAAAGATTGATCTTTATATTGAAATTCAATATACAAATATTATCTATCTCTTTAGTTCTTTTTTTTTCTCTTTTCTTTCCTAAATTCTAGGGTTCTTGTTAAGGAATTCATTTTTAAATCTTAACAAAAGGTTACACAAGGCATAAGGTATAAACAATTTGGGTTATACATCCAAGAGAGATTAAAAACAAAAGAATTAAAAGCTTCATATCTCAATATCATTCAATAAGTTCCAATTGCATATCGAATTAAGTATCCTATGTTCTTGGCCAATGTCTTGCACCATAAAGAGTTGTTGAAGCTTTACTTACTTCCCTACAAACATCAAAATTAATCTTAACATAGCTAGTGGGAGGGGATTACCAATTGCAAACAAGTAATAAGTTCTTCTTTTTTCGAATAGACCATGATAAGGAGAAGAGATGCATTTGTAATTTGAAGGTGGCTTGGATAGCATTTGAGACATCGATTGTTAAGGGACAGTTCCTCCAAACCATTTTAACTCTAGGCCATTCGAAAAAGTCATGTTTGGTAGCTATGAGACCACTATTACATTCGAGTGTCGTTTGGTTATCGGGATGAAAGGTCCGGAATAAAAATGCAAAAATCAAAATGAAAATTAAAAAATTAAAATGACATTTGCTTTTCCATAATATTTTTGGAATAGTAATAAGAAAATGAAATAAAATTTAAATTTTTTTAATATTTACTCTTTGATACGAATAAGAATAATAATTAAAAAAAATAATTTTATCAACTATGATTGTAAAAATGATAGAGGTGATAATGGTAGTAGTGATGGTAGAGTGAGTGGAGGAAGTTGTAGTAATAACAATATAGAAATAACAATAGTATATTTTTAAAAAAGGGATAGTGGTGATGGAGAAAGAATGATGACGAAATAATAATAATAGTAATATCTTTTTTTTTATCACCATCTTTAATAGTAGTGATGGTGATATAATAAAAATGATGGTAGCAGAATAATAATAATAATTTTATCACCATCACCGATGAAGGTGATGGTGGTGGTAGTTGTGATGGTGATATAAGTAGTCAATATACTATAAATAAAAATAATATATCATTATTTTGAAGAAAAAATTATTTTAATTTTTTTTATTCCCACCTCCCACATGAGAATAAAATTATGTATAATTTTTATTTTTATTTCTACTCCTTATTCATATTTTTAATTTTTTAACCAAACAACTATACGGTGAGAATAAAGCTTATATACTTACTCCCACCACTCTATTTCTATTAACCAAATCACACCTTAGATGTTATTTGGTTATCAAGAATGAAAAGTTTAAAATAAAATTATAAAATTTAAAATAAAAATTAAAAAATTAAGATGATATTTGTATTTTTATATTGTGTTTGAAACAATAATAAGAAATCAGAATAAAATTTAAATTTTTTAATATCCGATTTTTAAGACGAATAAAAATAATAATTAAAAAATAATTTCATTAATTATGATGGTTGTAAAAATAAAAGAGGTGATTATGGTAGTGGTGATTGTGATGATGATGATTGTTGTTGTGGGGTAGAAGAAAAAAGATGAAAACATGGTAGTAACGACGGTATAATAATAACAATAATGTATTTTTAAAAAATTAATATCACCATTATAGAAGGTGGCATTAGAAGAATAATGGTGGTGGTGGTGGTGGAGGATATGTGGTGGAATAATACTAATAATATTTTTTTTAAGTTTTTTATCACTACCGCCAATGGTAATGGTATACTAAAACTAATGGTAGTGGTTAAGGAGGGATGAAGGGAAAATAATAATAATAATTTTTTTGAATTTTTTTTATTACTATACCAATGGTGGTGGTATATTAAAACTGATGGTGGTGGTTGAGGATGAATTGTGGCGAAATAATAATAATATTAGCTTTTTTGAAAATTTTGCTATCACTATCCCCAATAACGAAGGCGGTGGCGGTGGCGATGGCGGTTTTGGTAGTGATGGTGAAGATGAAGGTGATAATGGTGATAGAAGTAGTAGCCACACAATAAATAAAAATAATATATCATTAATTTGAAGAAACAAAAATTTTATTCTCGTTACTTGTTTTTATTATCACATCTCAAAGAGAATGAAACTATACTTAATTTTTATTTTTATTTTATTCTTTTCAATCAAATAATTATAAAATAAGAATAAGACTTTTATTTTCATTCCTACCATTTCATTCATTGATACCAAACAACATCTTCCTACATACATTTGCTACTTGTACATCCCCACTCTCCATATTATTTTTTATTGGTTGTGATGAGTTTAAGTAAAACACATGACATGTAGGCATAACAATGAGTCCACATGGCATGCTGGCATGGATAGAAATTCTATATGTGACAAAAACCCTAGCTAGCCCATATCCGACTAGATCTACCCGGAATGAGGCTCTTAGGTCGACCTAATCGACTCCTCACTCATCACAAAGACAAATCATATATGCATTCAATGCATGCATGTTTCTAGGATCTGTTCTTATCAAGTGAATAATTTCTATGACATCAATACCTATAGTCAACAATGATTTGTCAAGTCTAGAAAATAACTATCTCCTAATAATGATCCGAAATCATAGATGACATAAAAATTAACTCATTTACCCCGTCTCTAAGCAACTTGTCATGGCTTATGGCCATATAAAGCCTTAGGGTAATAGATTGTGATTTTCTTCTTTAACCTCTCCATCTCTCATTTACAATATAACCCTACAATAATAATAACATGTGCTCTTCAAGATCATTTCTCCTAATATATTTACTAATTTAAGTATCGGAGAGTCCTTAACCTTCTAAAAAATTGTTTTGTATGTTCTTTAACCAATGCAACTATTTTCTCTAAAAAAATTCCATTATAGATTAGTCTTATGAAAAACCAACTCATCACTTTAAGTTTTTCAAGCTCATTAGGCTCCATATCGGAGCATGTCTTCTATATGAAATTTCTGACTTTTGAAGCTATATTCATTTTTCACATAAAACTCTACTAGGGATCTTTATTAGCCCTCTTAGCAAGCAAAGTGATAGGCACTCCTAAAAAAAATATACAAAGTTTCTTTTTATTTTTTTATAGAATTTATGTATTTTTGTATAATAGTGTCACGAATATGGAAATTTAATAAGGCTAATTAGTCTTAAGGTACCCTAAATGTTTGATCAAACAAAGACCGATACGTAACCTTAATTTTTTTTTCAATTTGAGTACCAAATCTTTTTTTCCACCAATTTCCTGCCATATTTGATGAACAAAACATGCACATGATCCATTAAAACAATAACAAGCATCCTAACAAGCAAGTGAAATTAACCCACCATCTACAATAAAAATCAACTAATAAAATAACCTCTTACCCAAATTAAAAAGAATTATGTTTCGCAGTACGATAGTCCTCCTTCGTCCGTCATAAAAACAACAAAGGTTGCGTGACTTGCTCTTTCTCCTCCCATTATTGTTAATGTTGTTGATTTTTCTTGTTTTCTTGTTTTTGTCTTCTCTAATGAGTATCTATGACGTAGCGAAACTCACAAAAGAATGATAATTACCGTTGATCCGATATTCGGATATCGATCTACTATAACTCGTTGATTTGTATACAAATACCGGAGAATATGCTTTAATTTTGTTGATTCAATGAATGGTGGCAATTGAAAAATTTGAGATACTCTCTCACAAAATTTATTAAGCAAGCAAAAGTGGTGTTTTTCAGCCTAAACGTTTTACATAAATAGTAAATTTTAAGTCAAAACCCTAAAACAATTTGAAAGGAAAACAAGCATTAAAAATCCAAAATTAAGTAGGAAAAATCCTTAAAACTCGTTACTGTACGGACATATTAGTAAATTGGCCATTTGAGGGCCTAAACGATGTTTTTTTAATGAAAAGAACATGTACATCATAGGTAAAGCTAATGAGTTTTGATCCTTGGCCCGTTTCCATGAAACTAGGTCCAAAAAACCTAAAAATCAATCCAAAAATCCCAACTCCCATCACCATACCCCGTTGTCTTGCTCCATAAATTCCAAGGCCTTTTGGTCTACATCATTCCCCCTAGGAAAGAGAAAATTCGACCTCAAATTGACATCATTAGAAGATTCACCATGAAAGGGAATCAAATGCTTGACATTGAACACATCGGTAGTACAAATATGACTAGGCGAGCTTGAGACGATAATCATTGGGATTGATCTTCTCAACTATCTTCATAGGACCAATCTTCTTTGCTACCAATTTGTTGTATTCTCCTATAGAAAAATGATCCTTAGTCGGGACGGCCCACACGAAGTCACCTACTTTGAACTCAACATGACTACGTCTTTTATTACTAGCTGCTTTGTACTTTGCATAAGATCGAGCTAAGTTGTCATGTACGATCTTATGAATCTCCTATAACCCTATTACAAAATCTGTTGCCTTACCATGGATCTTGGTCTCG